GGTCTGAGGGGTGATTACAGCAGACTACTACCCTAGGCTTCCGGGTGGAGTCCATTGGGACTGCCTTCATGTATGTGGTCTGTCCTGACCTAAGTGTTGTGAAGTGACAGTATGACCATACCTTCTGGTTTGTTCTTTAGAGTTCTGTAAATCATACCAGGCAGCAGTGCTCAGAGGCACCTAGACTCAGGAGGGTACTTGGGGCAACCATGTGGTGGCAGGATTAGACCCAGGGTCTCACATGCACAGCATGTGCTGTACCATTTGAACCACATCCCTGACCCCTGGACATTAGTCTTTCTATCTGCCCAGTGTTCCACTGTGTGATTATAGATCAAGCACCACCTTTCTCAGTTCTTTCATCAACTAGTGGACATTTGGATGTTTTTCTCTGAATTTGAGCCTGGGGAATTTTACAAGAGCTTTCAAATTATAAATCTGATTTAATGGTTATAGGAGTAGGGGCCAGAGTGATAGCACAGTGGGTAGGATGTTTGCCTTGCATATGGCTGACCCTGGTTCAATCTCTGGCATCCTGAATAGTCCCCCAAGCACGACCAGGAGTAATTCCTGAGTGCAGAGCCAGGAGTAATTCCTGAGTATTGCTGAGTGTAACCCAAAAAGCAAAAAAAAAAAAAAGAAAAAAGTTATAAGAGTATTGGTTTATCTACTGTATCTTTTTTTTTTCTTTTTGGGTCACACCTGGTGATGCACAGGGGTTACTCCTTGCTCTGCACTCAGGAATTACTTCTGGCGGTGCTCAGGGGGACCATATGGGATGCTGGGAATTGAACACGGGTTGACTGCGTGCAAGGTAAACGCCCTACCCACTGTGCTGTTGCTCCTGTATTTTAGTGAAAATTCAGTGAATTATTTTCAAATAATTGGTCCTTTTTCCTCTCATGTTGATGAATGATAAGCAAAAGTTGTTAGAGTATTCTCTTACAAACTTGAGGAAAAAGTCTCATACAAAAAAGTTAACTAAAAAAGTTTGCTGGAAAATTAGAAATTGAGCTCCCATTTAACCCACCAATACCACTGCTGGTAATATATCCCAGAGAGGCAAACAAGTATAGTAGAAATGACATCTGCACTTGTATGTTCATAGCTGCACTGTTTACAATAGCCAAAATCTGGAAAAAACTGGAGTGCTCAAGAACAGATGACTGGTTAAACTTTGGTACATCTACACAATGGAATACTATGCAGCTATTAGAAAAGATGAAGTCATGAAATTTGCGTATAAGTGGATCAGCATGGAAAGTATCATGTTAAGTGAAATGAGTCAGAAAGAGAGGGCCAGATATATAAAGATTGCACTCATCTGTGGAATATAAAGTAACAATAGGAGACGAACACCCAAGAGTAATAGAGATAAGGACCAGGAGGTTTGCCCTAAGGCTTGGAAGCTGGCCTCACATGCTAGGGGAAAAGGCAGCTCAGACAGAGAAGGGAACACCAAGTAAAGGGTCCTGGGAGGACCCACTCGGGTTGGGAGCTGCCAAAAATAGACTATAGACCGAACACGATGGCCACTCAATACCTCTATAGCAAACTACAACACCCAAAAGGAGAGAGAGAACAAAAGTAAGTGCCCTGCCACAGAGGCGGGGTGGGGAGGGGGTAGGTGGGGGGTGAGTAGGATACTGGGATCATTGGTGGTGGAGAATGGGCACTGGTGGAGGGATGGGTGTCATTGTATGACTGAAACACAAACACAAAAGAACAACTTCAAATGAAAAAGAAAAAAAATAAAGAAGTTTGCTGATTCAGGGATATAGCTCAAGGTTAGAGTGCTTGTCTTGCATGTGTGAGGCCCTGATTTTGAGCCTGAGCACAGACAAAACAAAGGGAAGGGGGCGATATGTGTGTCTTTAGTATATCTACAATGTTTTGCAGCTATCACCTAATTCCAGAGTATTTTTGTCACCCCGAAAGAAACCATTTGCCCATAAAGCAGTACCTTTTCCTTCTTCTCTTCTCCCAGCCCCAGACAACCCACTCGTCTATTATCTTCCAAACTGCCATGCAGTATATAGTCTTATGATTGCTTTATTTAATTTCGTACAATGTGACATTTATCAACATTGCTCTTTGGGGGCTGGAGCAATAGCACAGTGGGTAGGGCATTTGCCTTGCATGTGGCCAGCCTGGATTCAATCACCAGCACCACACATAGCCCCCCACTACCCACCAGGAGTAAGCCCTGAGTACTGCCATGTTGGCTAATGACTCTCACGCTGACCTCTAATTTAAATTATTTTTGACTCTTTTTGACCACACCTTGTGCTCAAGGATTATTCCCAGCTCTGTGTTCCCGGTGGTGCTTGCAGGACAAGACAGTGCCAGTTTGAGCTATCTACCAGGGTCTGCACTGTCTTCCTTGCCCTGTAACACTCACAGGCTTCAAGGATTAGGACATGGACTTTGTGGTGAGGGATGGTAGTGGCTGTTATTCTACCTTACCAGTAGTCATAGAACTTTTTTTAGTATCCCACTGCTTGTTGAGGCTCTGTTCTTTTTTTTCCCCCCTTATGTCTGTCTCTTATTTAGACAGGAGTCCTTCAAGTTTTTTTTCCATGTCACCCCTTTTACCCAAAAAAGTTTTGTGTGCTATGTAGGTATATAAAATAGGTCTACAAATCACTGTCACCGTCCTCCCGTTGTTCATCGATTTGCTCGAGCGGACCCAGTAACGTCTTCATCGTGAGACTTTGTTGTTACTGTGTTTGGCATATTGAATACATCACGGGTAGCTTGCCAGGCTTTGCCAGGCTTTGCTGTGCGGGCGAGATACTCTAGGTAGCTTGCCAGGCTCTCTGAGAGGGACAGAGGAATCGAACTCGGGTCGGCCATGTTGGCTGCATGCAAGGCAAATGCCCTACCCGCTGTGCTATCGCTCTAGCCCAGGTCTACAAATGAAATACTGATAATAAATTATAAAGAAATAAGTTACAAAGAATTTTATTCAAGGGGCCTGAGCAGATAGGGAGCTTGCCTTGCATGCCACTGTCCCGGGTTCGATCCCCAGCAATTCCATATGGTTCCCTGAGCACTGCCAGGAGTGATACCTGAGTTCAGAGCTAGGAGTAAGCCCTGAGCATTGCTGAGTGTGTCCCTCACCTAAAATAAAAACAAAATATTTTTTATGTGGGGTTCACAACCCACAGTTTAAGAAGGTAAGATTTAGATGGAATAAACTACTATTTGTGGTTTCACTTTTATTATGTCATCTCTACTGCTGTCCAGCAAACTTCTTTGTGAAATTGATTGTTTTAACTGTATTATTTCCATTTGATACCTTGAAAAGAAAAAAAGCCTTTTCCACTTTGGAGAAGCCCATGCCCACGTTCTCTCTTGAACATACTCTCTTTTTCTCTCCCATCACATTACTATAAGTAAATTTTTAAAAATAAAACTTTTGCTCCCCTACCCGCCAAATAAAAAGACATCCCCCATTTTTCCTTTTGGATCACACCAGGCTGTACTCAGGGATCACTCCTGGTAGGGCTCAAGAGGCTCTGTGGGGTGCCTGGGATGGAACTCGGGTCAGCCACATGTAAGGCAAGCGCCCTGCGGTTAGTGCTGTATCTCCAGCTCTTCTGTAATGTTGGGGCTCAAATCTAGGGCTCCTCCATGGGAGCAGTGCGCCCATTGCACTAAGCTATATCCCTGGCCTTTATAACTTTGTTTTGTTGGGATTTTCTTTTTATATGTTTATATGTTTGTTTTGGGCCCACACCCAGCAGTGTTCAGGGTGGCACACAGTTCTGGGGATTGAATTCGGGCCCCTGCATGCACAGCACACACACTACTTCAGTACCTCCTGTCTGCCTTCCTCTAAAACAATTTATTAAAGAAAATTCTTAAGTGTTGTTGTTGAAGCATTTTTGCAATAGGTACTTGAACTTTTTTTTTTGACAATTCCAGCATGTGAGTGATTTTGGTGGTCATCAGCATAGTTATCTTTTCTTACTCCAGTACATCTGTCCTGATAGTTCTCGTGGCATGACTTTATTATTTGTATCCTGAGTACTTACTGTAAGGAAACCCTTGATCCTGTTCAAGTCTTCCAATGTATCTGGCAGTTCGCCTATTTGTGTTTAGTGTCTAGTTCTCTGCCTCCCTTTTCTGTGAGCTGTGATTCAGGTGGTAGTTTAGTTTACAGAGCTTTTGCAGTGTTCTCTTTAACTTTGTTCTCCTGGCAGTGCTGAAGCTTCTCTTGATGTTTACAAGTGCTACCAGGGCCAGCTTGTGGGTGTGGACTCCCAGTTCTACTGCTGCTCAGGGCAGATGGGCTGGACATGGCTGCCGGTGTTGATTTTTTCTCTGCCGTGAATCTGGCCTGCTGCTGTGAGTGGTGTGTGATGGAGACTCAGCTGCTGCCGCCACTGTGGGTTGGACCCCCTCCTGACTGGGGAAGCTTGTTCTCTCCGTCTCTGCTGAACTCCTCTTTCCCTAGCCCCTCACCAGAAAGCAAGACTTTTTCCCTTTGTTTATCTGCTTTCTGTCCCTGCTGTTGGGTGGAGACCCTTCTGGAGTTTAATGAAGGCATATGGAGGTAAAGGAAAAACCCACTGAACGTACCGTGGTACATTTCTTCTCCCTCTTCTCCTGAGATTCCTGTCTAGCCTACCTCTTTTCTGCTGTGTTCATAATTTCATGAGTGTCTTATCTTATTTCTAGGGTATTTAATGGTATTAAGGAGAGAAGAATAGGGAAATGTTAACTTTTACCATTCTTGAGAATGGAAACCCTAGCAATTTAGGTTTTGTGTTATTTTTGTTGGCCATTGTATGAAATTGTCAGGTCTTTTGCTTTCACTGATAAATCAGTACTTTTTTTAGAGTGTTTCTCTGCAGTTTGATAATGCTAGGAGTGCTTCTCTGTATCTGTTGTTGAGTATATGTATAAAATAAGGATTCTTCTTTTGCTTAAATTGTGTTGAAGTTAAAATTGTCATGTTTTATTTATTCACCTATTATTTTTTGCATTTTTAGGGAGTGGAGCAACTGCTGTGGTCCAAGCAGCTTATTGTGCCCCTAAGAAGGAGAAAGTTGCAATCAAAAGGATAAACCTTGAGAAATGTCAGACTAGCATGGATGAACTCCTGGTATGCAGAGCTTAATTTCTTATGTCCTTTCTATTTTCCTTCCTCTTTAGAGTGAAAGTAACCTGAAGATTTAGTATTGTAATTATATGTTTTCCTTTTTATGGGCTAATTTACTGTAGAATCCATTTGTGTTTATAAATACAAATTAATATAGTTTTCAATATGTATGTCATGGTTCAAGTAGACCACGCATTATTTTACCTATTCTCTGGAGTTGGACAGTTACCTAGTTTCCTCACTTTTATTGTTGCAAACAGTGGCTACTTGTTTCTCTCTTTTTCTTTTGACACACTCAGTGATGCTCAGGGGCTACTTCTGGCTCAGTGCCGAAATGCAGGAGTGCAGGCAGGATCATATGGTATTGGAGTTGAATCTGGGATTCCCCTTGAGCTGTCTTCCCAACCCTGCTCTCTTTTCTTAAGTTAGTCCCATGCAGTTGTCATTTCTGGGTCCAGTGGAATATCTTTCAGAAGACTACCAGCCTCCTGGGACCGTGGGACCAATCTGCATTCTGACCATTGAACATGATGGGTGACAGAGTAAGCCCAACTGCACTGGCATCTCGAAAGGTTGGGAGGGAAGAAGAATACCAACGGTGCTTTGTGGCATTGCAGCCTAGTTAAGCAAGGGTGGTTTATACATCTTTATACTCCATGACAGGTAGAGCAATTCTAGGTATTTAGCACAGCAAGAGAAAGGATAGGGTTTCAAATCATAAATTTTTCATCCTCAGAGGCCAAAGAGCAATCATCAGCACATGATTTACCAGTGGGGGATCCGGGTTTGATCCCTGGCACTGCAGGTCCCCTAAGCACTGCTAGAGTGTTCCTGAGCGCAGAGCCGGAAGAAACTTCCTCGCACTCCAGGTGTTTATTTGTGTTTGTTTGGAGGCCACACCCAGCAGTTCTCGGAGCTTACGCCTGGCTGTCCACTCAGGGATCACTCCTGACAGCTCAAGGGACCATATGGGTTGTTGGATAAGTGCAAGACAAATACCCTAGCTGATGTACTCTCGCTCCCCAAACTCCCCCAGTTTTTTAAATTTGGCTTTTGGGGGCATACTGTCTGTGTTTAGGGGTTACTCCTGGCTCTGCACTTAGGAATTGTTCCTGGCGGTGCTTGGGGACCATATGGGAAGTTAGGGAACAAACCCCACTCAGCAGTGTGCAAGGCAAGCTCCCACTGTACTATCACCGTGGCCCATCCCCCAGTTTTTAAATCCTTAATTTATTTGGCTTAATTGCAAAAGGTATCACCTTTGTATCACTCGTTTTTGAATATTGTTATCTGCAGTAGAAATATGAGCTAACAATGTCTTTTTCTTTTTTAATTTAGTCACCATAAAATTACAAAGTTAGGGCTGGAGCAATAGCACAGCGGGTAGGGCGTTTGCCTTGCACGCGGCCGACCTGGGTTCAATTCCCAGCATCCCATATAGTCCCCTGAGCACTGCCAGGGGTAATTCCTGAGCGCAGAGCCAGGAGTAACCCCTGTGCACCACCGGGTATTACCCAAAAAAAAAGCAAAAAAAAAAATTACAAAGTTATTCATGATTGGGTGTCAGGCATACAATATTTCAACGCCAGTCTCTTCACAGTGTCCACTTCTCTCCTCTAATGCACTCCCCAGCCCCATTTGCCTCCCACACACCCACCAGTCTGCTCTATAAGAGGCTTTAAAATATGTGTATTTTTGTATTGTTATTTCCAGTTCTGTTGCTGGTAGGGTTTCATGCACAACTCTTTACCATCTTTCAGCACCTTTTCTTCCTGGTTGAATGCCTCTCTCATGTTCTTTTCCCCCCATTGTCTTTGGGCATTTTTTTATTCCATCATTAATATTATAATTTTTTAAAAGTAATTTTCCCTAAGGTCATGTGTAGCCAGTGAGAGAAAGCAGGAATTAGAACTGGGACAATCTGATTATCTAAAACTTTTTTCCCCTGGTGACTCAGAATAGATTTAATAGGAATATTGTAAAGATAGATGAAGATCTTATTTATTATATTATTTACGGTAGAAGTTTTTTTTTTTTTAAAAAAACAATATTCATAAGATGATAGTAGCAAGTGTCTTTTGGAAGTGGGGGTGGCATTCCTGGCAGTACTCAGGGCTGACTCCTCATTGATTCTGTAGTTCTGTGCTCACGGATAACTCCTGGGGGACCATAGGATGTGCAAGGGCTTAAACTGAGGCCAAATAAATGCAACTGAAATGTACTTGTATCCTCGAAAATCTCTCTAGAGATAGGGATTAGCCCCACTTCATAAATGAGAGAAGTGGATCTAAGTGACAGTCTGGATTAAAGAATTGCATCTTTCTGATACAGGCCTCTAGTTTTCTACTTTATATAGATTAACAGAATTATCATAATCTTGGTTTAAAAGATTAACTCTTTAAAAAAGTTATTTTTTTAAAGTTACATTGTTTAGAAGGAACAACTCTTGTCAAATATCATTTGACATTATTGATTTGCTTGTTTTGGTGCACATCTAATTTGGTACTTGGCGGGCACACCTGGTGGTGCTAGGGAGATAGAACCCAGACTCTGTGAGTGCAAGCGTCAGGCTCTAGAGATGGCACACTTGGCTGTGGTGCTCGCTGGGGTTTTCCCTTTTAGTCATGGTGCTCGCCTGGGTCTGGTGTGGTGGGAAAGTGCTCCCAGCATTTGAGTTCACTGACAGCACAGCTTCCTGAACCGGAGTGGACTCATGCTCTTGGGCCGAGTGCTCGGAACCGCTCAGCTCTCTGCCTGGGCCTCCACTGAATTTCCCAGATGTGGTATTCTGAGGCAGTAGTAAGCATACGGAAAAAATGCAAAAGCAGTTAAGTTAGTTCCCATGTGGTGTTCACACAACTTCTTCTTCTTCTTCTTCTTCTTCTTTTTTTTTTTTTTTTTTTTTTTTTTTGCTTTTTGGGTCCACCTGGCGATTCACAAGGGTTACTCCGAGCTCTGCACTCAGGAATTACCCCTGGTGGTGCTCAGGGGACCATAGGGGAAGCTGGGAATTGAACCCAGGTTGGCCGCGTGCAAGGCAATGCCCTACCCGCTGTGCTATTGCTCCATCCCCCCACACAATTTCCGATAGTAACATAGCCACAGTACATTTATCAAAACTGAGAAATAAGCTGTAATTTTTCAGGCCACCATCATTTCTCTCCCAGATCTGGGAAAATCTTTTAAATGGTCTTTGCCTGTTGTCTTGCCTGCTTTCTTTTCTTTTTTGCTTTTTTGGTCACACCTGGCGATGCTCAGGGGTTACTCCTGGCTCATGCACTCAGGAATCACTCCTGGTGGTGCTCGGGGGACCATATGGGATGCTGGGAATCGAACCTGTGTTGGCCATGTTGGCTGCATGCAAGGCAAACGCCCTACCCGCTGTGCTATCGCTCCAGCCCCTGCCAGGGTGATTTTTATGAAAATGTGTACAGTAAACTTTCAATGTCTTGCCATTGCTCTTGGGTAAAAGTGTAAATTTTGGAACAAAAGATTTTGTGTTTGGACCCATGGAATTTAGGATATTATACCCAGTAATTAAACAATTGCCACACATTAAAACCTGCTTGTTTTTTTCTATTTCAGGGTCAGTGAAGTAAACTCTGATTTATCACTCCAATTTTATTTTTTTTATAATATGCCTCTTTGGTGAAATCATGTAGCAATATACTTTTTATATAAAACTATTCTGTTTTACAAAGGACATCTTTTTATGACATCTTATTATCTCATTCCTACTTTGGACAAACTTGCAGGCTATCGAATGTAGCCTGCCCACAGGGCAGAGTCTGGCAAACTCCCCATGGCGTACCAAATATGCCAAATACCAGTAACAATGATGGGTCTCATTCTCCCAAAGAGCCTTGAATATAATCTCAGGGCTAGGATGAAAGAGACGTTACTGGGGCCTGCTCGAGGCAATCGACGAATAACAAATTAGTGCCTATGTTATTTCTGTTTATTTGTAAAGTATTTTTTGGGGTCACACCCTGTATTGCTTAGGGGTCACTCCTGACTCAGGAACCACTCCTGGTGGTGCTCAGGGTGGTGCTTGCAGGATGCTGGATTTTGAACCTGGGTGGGGAGTGTGCAAGGCAAGTGCCCTTCCCACTGTAGTGTTGCTCCGGCCCCAGTGTTTGTATTTCTTCTTCACCATTGTGGTCATGCACTGGTAAATACCTGTTTGAAAGCCTAAACTACTAAAATTAGGGTGACTCATTGTGTCCTGAAGTATGCCTCTTGTATTTTCTCCTCTCTCCTCTTCCTCCACACCTCTCGTTCCTTCTCTCTTCCCTCTCTTTGGTGATTATATGTGCATGCCTCTTATCTTGTACTGCTCCAGTTTCTTCACATCATGTGCAACTAAAGCCAATTTAGCTCCTCTGTGAAGACTGACAATTACGCTCCTGTTTTGGTATTGGTATATTGTGGGCTGTGATGCTAAGATCTAGTGGGAGTTTGGACGCCAAAAGAAAGATACCTAATTCAGCCTGGGGAACAGGAAATAAATGATATTTCAGCTGAACTCAGAAGGAAGAATTGGCATTTTTTGGCTAGGTGAAGATAAGGAGAGAGTATTTTAAGGCAGAGGCAATAATATGACTAAATGTCCAGGCATTTCAATGAGATGGAACAAGTAAGCAAGGCCCTGATGACACAGGACTTCAAAAGGCTTATGTGATCAGGGCTTAGCACGTCACATCTAATTTAAATTAATAAGCAGAGTAGTCCTCGGCTTACGGCTCAGATTTCTTTTTGGATTTAGTTTACTATCTTGCCATGTTTCAGTAAATTTTTCTTTAGAGCAAGAATTGTTAATTGTCTCACCAAAAAAATGGGATGCAACAATATCTTGAAGCAGGGGAAACTAATCCACAAACAAAAGCATCCCCTGTTTATTAGTAATTATCTTTTATGTCTGTAAAACCAGATTTCCCAAGATGGTTCATCAAGGGCACCTTGAACTAAAAATGTGTCCCAATGGAGGCCTCTGTGATGCTGTGCCAGGCTGTGATAAATACTGCGTGTTCTAGTTTCAGAGATGGCTAATTAGTAAGAGCAGGGGAGTCAGAATGGACTGAGAGAACCTGGGGTTTACCTTTGAACCATTCTTGAAGAGGTCAGAACCTAGGAGGTCCCATAATTAATTAGACTGAAACAGTATCTTAGGATTTCCCAAGCTGGATTTACTAACTGTTAGTATTGTTAGACTTGCATGTAATGAATTATTGTTTTCTCTTTGCAGAAAGAAATTCAAGCCATGAGCCAGTGTCATCATCCTAATATTGTGTCTTACTACACATCTTTTGTGGTAAAAGATGAGCTGTGGCTAGTTATGAAACTGCTAAGTGGAGGTGGGTATTGTACAATGAAATGTTGACTGCCACGGGCTGGAAAATAAACCTGTTTTCTCTTCTGGTTTGGTTTGAGGAGATCCTGAGAATACAGTGTCTGCTAAAGATACTGCTGTATGAGCTGAGATAGGTTTTGGACATTGCGTGTGGTTGTCATGTGTTTTATTTTGTACATTTATTTTGGGGACTACTCCTCGTGATTCTTGGCCACTCACATCAACTGGTCGTTCTAGGGCCTCCAGGTCGCACCCAGCCGAGCTTGGGAGGCCAGGCCAGGCATGCACCCTGGAGCATGCTCTCCCTCGTCCTGTCATGGCTTTGAAGTCTCTCTCTAGTCTACACTGGTTTCCTCCCACTGCTTTTCTTCCTTCACATAAACTTGTTTATTTATTTATTGTTTTTGGTCTCACACCCAGCATTGCTGAGAGACTGCTCCTGGCTATGCTTAGGACTATGAGATGCTGGGAATTGCTGTTGGGCCCTTTTCTGCCTCCCCCTCCACCCCCCTTTTTTTTTTTTAATTAATTGTATCACTGTGAAATATTCTAAATGCTTTTCATGGGCTCCAGCCCTTTGAACTCTCTTCCTAGCCTTTATTATTATTATTATTATTGTTATTATTATTATTTGTGGTGCTAGGGATAGAATTCAGGGTCTCACACCTGCAAAGGCAAGCATTCTACCACTGAGTCTTATACCCAGTGACATAAACTGGTTGACATCTTTTGATAAACTGTTCACATTCTAGGTGCATACTGTGATTTCTTCTTGGTGATGTTTAACTTGATTTAAATTCTAAATTTTCTTGAAAATTGGAAAGTAGACCTGAAGAACTGATTGAACTTGTTAAAATATTTTTTTGGAGAAGATTTTTTTGTTTTATTTCATTTGGGTTTTGGACTGCACCTGGTGGTGCTTAGGTGCTCTACCTGGCTCTGCTCAGGAGTGCTTGAAGAGGCAGTGTGTGTGCTCAGCAATTTGGATGCAAGGCACGTGGCTTATCCCGTATACTATCTCACTGGTCCTGGACAAGGGTATCTCATAGGTGATGTTGTGTACTGCATATTGTATCACACCATGAAGTGTTTTCTCTTTTTTAAATAGATAATAAAAGATCTTATCTTTAATAGTGGATGTTAATGTAGATTGCTTAATATGACAATCAGGTCTCTTCATGGAAAAGTTTTTTTCTTTTGCAACTAACAGTTAATCTGTTATGATCCTTTGGCACTGTGAATATATAATTTCCCTTAAGTTTTTCATCAAATCGTTTTAGCATTCATTAACAGCCCTTCTTTACCCTCAGGAATTTTTACCCCCAGGAATTGCAAAATTGTGATTTTTCTTGTTGCAGTCTGTTACCTTTATAAAGTAACATTCTTACAGGAACTTTGTCTTATTAACTGGGGGTTTTTGCTTAATCTATGCTGTAGTTTCTATGGGGAAAAAAAACTTGATAAACAATAAACATTTCATTCTTTTTCTAAGGGAGAATTTTCAGATCAAAGAATTTGTTAAATAATAATCTCCACTGGTAGCAAGGGGAGACAGTGCACCTCGCACCCCTCTCCGCCCCCCACACACACACATAAGAAGGCTTCTGTTATTCAGACTCAGGGGCCCCTCCTCGATAAGAAGGCTTCTGTTATTTAGACTCAGGGATTTTTGTCTTTTAGTTAGCTTCTATTCTTTTGGTGCTCTGGATAATTTTGTTAGTGGCAGTTACTTTTAAGAGTCCTCTTCTCCTCTTCTGTCCTTTTTGACGTGAATTCCTCATCCGTATTAGATTACTTACTTGCTTTTTTGTTCAAGATCTTTCTTTTTTGGCCTACCTGGTGCTGCGTAGGGGCTCCTCCCAGCTTGGTGCTCTGGCCTGTGTACTACTGGTTTGATGCTCAGGAAACAGTCTTGGTGGTGCTGAGGGAACCATTAGGTGCTGGGATTGAACCTGGGGCTTCCTCATGCAGATCACGTGCTCAGCCCATTGAGCTCTCTACCCAGGCTTGATTCCAGATTCCACAGACTCAAAGTTATATTGCTTTTCCTAGACCCAACATGATCTAGAACTTGAGGGAGATCTGATAGTTTTATAGGAAAGGATATTTAACAGGTATAATGGTGGTTGGTGTGTTCATTGTCACTGTGTTGTTGGTGCTTTTAGTTGAGAGGACTTGGGAATCCAGTATATTAAAATGAGATGCTTGGGACCTGGAAGACTGCTCAATCGCGTCACACATGTGCCACACATGAGGAGGCCACGGGGTGAAGCCGTGGTGCTGCCGCATGCACTGAGATGACCCTGACAGCCACCCCTCGCCCCTTTCTTAGTTCACCTGTGCGGGGGAAAGGATCAAAGTAAACGGTGACTCAGCATTTGTCTTTTCTGTTCTGGCTTTAGAAATTTCTTTAAAATCATGGGGCCAGGGTGATCATACAGCAGGTAGGGGGTTTGCCTTGCATGCGGCCTACCGGGGTCTGATCCTGGCATCCCATATGGTCCCCCAAGCCCGTCAGGAGTAATTTCTGAGTGCAGAGTCAAGAGTAACCCCCACACTGCCAGGTGTGGCCACCAGTTCCCCAAAATATAGAGAGAAATATGTAAAGGGCTGGAGGGATAGTACAGCAGGTAGGGCTTTTGCCTTGCATTTGGCTGGCCTGGATTTGATCCCTGGTACCCCATATGGTCCCCCAAGCCTGCCAGGAGTGATCCATGAGTGCAAAGCCAGAAGCAAGCCCTGACACAGCCGAATGTGGCCTCCAAACAAAGAGAAAATTAATCAGAAACTTCTTTAAAATCATACTTGAGCTTCTTTTCTAACACAGAAAATCTTTGTCCCTCATATAGGGATTTAGGTGCTTTTTCCTGCAATATATATATAATTATTTATACTTTAGTGTTTGGCATAAGATTCATTGTTGGTTGCTGATAGTCGCATGTGTAGAATAGATCGCATTTTTGGTCCTGAAGGCCCTTGACATGTAGTAAATCAAATCTTTTGCCAAGCATGAACTGGATTATAGAGCGGGTAGGGAGGAACCCCCAACCTCACCATCTCTGCACTGCTTGGTTTCCCTTGGTGTGCATATTTGTTTGTGAGCATGATTTTCCATTTTAAAATATAAAGTTAAAGGAAAGAGAATTCATGTTTGTTTACTTTGCAGTTTCAAGATTTATTATTTAGTTTTTATTTTTACTTTTTGGGGGGGGGCTGGGGAAGGGGGAGTCATACCCAGCATTGCTCAGGGGTTACTCCTGGCTCTGTACTCAGGGATCACCCCTGGCAGCATCAGGGGCCCATATGGGGTACTGGGGTTGGAACCTAGGTTGGCCACATGCAAAGCAAATACCCTACCGTGGTACTATTGCTTGAGCCCCATTTTGTTTTTAGTTCTCACAGGGCCGCTCTCAGTGATGCTCTGTGCAGTGTGAAGGAGGAGGTAGGCTGTGCATGGAGTGCTGGGCTCCAGCTCATACATAGGCGAGGCACATGCTCTTCAAGTTGAGCTGTCACCCGGGCCCTTTTCATGGCATCCTATTTGCCATGCTGACATGCTATTTTATTTTATTTTTTCCTTTTTGGGTCACACCCGGCGATGCAGAGGGGTTACTCCTGGCTCTTCACTCAGGAATTACTCCTGACGGTGCTTGGGGGACCATATGGGATGCTAGGAATCGAACCCAGGTCGGCCACGTGCCAGGCAAACGCCCTACCCGCTGTGCTATCGCTCCAGCCCCAAATATTGCTATTTTAATACCTTACCTAATTGGATGCATAACTTCCCATGGGCTTTGGAATTCAATTTCATTTTCCTTTTTAACAGTGGTGTGTTTTTTGCAAACTATTTCAGCTCTGTAAAACTATTTACTTGTGTGCTTCTAAATGAGGATCACAGGTATGGAGAGCCATAAAGGTTGTGCAGAGCATCCACTGCCATGCTGACATGCAGTAGGTACACAAGAACCTTTGTCCTGCATGTAGCCATCCCTTGTTATTTGACGATCCCCAGTGTAGCCAGAATCACCTTTTTGTTCCAGCTCCATTTGTGACAGAGTGAAGACACTGGTTGCTTGGTTGAAGGCCCTGTTCATGTGATGGTTGGAAGCCTTGCTAACACCATCCACCTTTCACGGTGGTGGTCAAGCCTAGTCTTCCAGATGGACAGACATGGGAACACTATGCAACACTGTATATTTTGTTATTCATCACCTATGGCATCATAATACTTGTAATTTACAAATAACTATGCAGTTTTCATACTGTGCTAACATATTCTGTAATTTATAGGAAAAACTGACTTAGTTCCCTAATCTGTACCTATATTTCCATATCTTTCCATAGCAAAATGACTTTATTTTACTTAATTGTTTATTGGTTTTGGGGCCACACTTGGCAGTGCTCAGGGGTTACTCCTGGCTCTACACTCTTGGAGGTGCTTGGAGGACCACAGGGGAAGCCGGAGATTGAGCCCGGGTTGGCTGTTAACCAACCAACTGTTACTATTGCTCTGGTTCCCCAGAATGACTTTTAAGAAGAGTCCTCCTTCCTTTCAGGTGGACAGACGCCCTGGTAACAGAAGGGACAGGGCATATAGCTGGGTAGGATGTTTTTCAATTGTAGTTTTTTGTTCCAGCTTGTGTTTCTGGGGACAGTGAACCTAGCACTCAGCACATTTCCTGGAGGTTAATTTTCAAATGTTTTCCAGACATCAACTTTTAAAAAACTTATTATTCCCATGTGTCAATGTGATCTTATATTTAAAGCTTTTAAAATACTAGAAATTTTGCATTTTCTTTCTGGCTGCATCAATAGTACACACAGCAGACAGGGCACGTGCCTTGCATGCAGCCGATTCAGGTTTGTGTCCCAGGTTTGTGTCAGGCATCGCTTGTGTCTCCTGAGCGCAGAGTGAGGAGTAAGCCCCGAACACTGAGGGGTGTGAGTCAAAAAAAATTACGTTTTTTTTTTAAAGATAAAAGAAATCTTTTGCAGTTGCAAAATAAACATTCAAGCTGAAGAGATATACTAAACACATCAAATAATATGTAGCAAAATAAAAGCTTGAACAACTTTCACATTTCTTTGAAATAGGAAGAAACTGTGTCAAGATTTCTGACTCCGTTAGACTTCCATTCACCAAATTCTTACTGATCATCAATTCATCATTGAATCAAATCATTGGTTCCTTGCTCTTATTGGCTTTGTAACTAAGAAGGAAAAGTTGCAATTAAATAATTAGATGTGTGCAGCGGGCTGTGAAGAGAAGTATCAGGTGCCATGGGAACAGGCACCAGGGGATCCTCACCTTATTGAAGGAGGCTGGGTGCAGTGGGGTACCAGCCTTCCCTCAGGAGGCCATGCTCAGCTGAGACCTGAGGAGTTAGGTGTTAACTAATTCCCTGAAACCAGATGTGGGAGTTGGTTCATCTAGCATGAGAGAGGTGATCCAGATACTGTGCGGGTGACACGGATCTGGAGGCAGGATGGAAGAGTGTGATATGGCTTAGGGCTGGCAGGGAATCAGAGGAACTGAGAAGACAGAACCGTTGATGAGCAGGGGCTCCTTTTAAGGAACAAAAAATGATAAGAATTAGAAATATCTATATCAAAATAGACGAATATGTTATCTTTCACATCAACTTTTTTTGAGTCAAAATACTTAAAAGCATATTTTTATTTAGAAACATTATACTGATGTAGAATTTAATAAGCTAATAATTAATGAATTGTAGCTGTCACTCTTAAACCCATCAACCAGCTAAACATCACAGTTAAATTTTTAAGCTTGGGGGTTGGGGCGAGAGTTCAAAGGGCTGGAGCCGAGGCTTTGTGTGCAGGAGCCCTGGGTTTGACCCCCAGCAGTGTGTGGTATTCCAGACCCCACTAGGAGCCACCCCTGAGCGCCAAGCCAGGCATAGCCTCCTAGTCCCATTGGAGGTGACCTCCAAGCCAAAATAAATAAACAGGATAAAATTCTGTCAATGTTAAGGTGCTTCCTTATGTTGTGATTTTTCTTTTAAATTTTTTCTTCCTTTTCTTTCTTTTTTTTGGGGGGGGGGGGTGATTTTTCCTTGGCTAATTAAAAAGTGTTACTGAATGTTGGAATTTGCTTGAAAGGAAACTCCAGGTAAACTTAAAGGAATCTAGGTAAGGTAAGGTAAAGGCCCTCCCATTGATCGTCGATTTGCTTGAGCGGGCCCAGTAACGTCTCCATTGGAGACTTTTGTTGTTACTGTGTTTGGCATATCGAATACTCTCGGTAGCTTGCCAGGCATTCAAAGTGCAGGCCCTCCTGGAAATGGATTACTTTATCTTTACTTATGAAAGAATGAAATTTTCAGAGCATGAATAGGTAATACCCATGATGTTAAAAATTCAAACACAAAATTGGATTTGATAAGAAAAAACAAATCTTCTTAGATTTGTTGTACTAAATTATGTTAATAGTATGCAACACACACATACACACATACCTTTAAACACCACTAAAGTGCTAATCTTGGATGCTATGTAATTTTGTAATTCTGGAATCTTGACAGAAGTAGGATGTTAGGTGAAAACTTTAAAAGTCACAATGAATTGTCATCATTGGTTGATAATTGTGCAGTCGTACCTGTTTATTAATTGTGGCAAAATGTTAATTAGGGGAGAAAAATAAAGGGAACTTGGCATGAGGTAACTGCACCAACTTCTCACATTTTAATATAAGTATAAAACGATTCTTAATAAGGCACTCAAAGCAAAGGAATCTAATTTTTAAAAATTAAAAACACATTTTTTGGAGGTGGGGGTGGGGAACTATACCTGGCAGTGCTCAGGACTTACTCCTGGTTCTGTACTCAGGAATTACTCCTGGCAGTGCTCAAGGGATCACATGGGGTGCAGGAGGTCAAACCCTGGTCAGTGGTGTGCAAGGCAAGCGCTCTACCCACTGTACTATCACTTCCCCTGCTCCCGATTAGAAATACTTCTGATTTAAATAGCTGTTTCTTGATTGATTAGCGTTAAGCTACAGAGTAAGGTTTTTAGAAAACAAGATATCGAAGAAAGTTCCGAGGTGCCAGTGAGATAGCTCAGAGAAGTGTTTCTTTGGAGTGTGTGCTTTGTATGTGGGAACACTTGGTTCAGTCTCCAGCATGCATGATCCCCTGAGCAACACTGGCAATGGCCCTTCTGAGTGGAAAAGTGAAATTGCTGTCGTGCTTTAAGGGTTCCATGAATAAGTTGGTTGTTCAGGGTTGCTTTCAGTTTTGTATCTGTGAGGTAATCGTTATGGGACTCGCTTGATCTAAGTAAGCAAGACACAGGTGAAACATCTGGTTCTACTAGCAGCCAACTTTAGATGTTTAAGTAGTAGCGACGGGTGTTTGTTGGTCTGAAATGGGATACTCAGAATCCTCCTGTGTCTTCAGGAATCAAAATAAGCATTAGTGGCTAAAGATTGATTTAATGTTGGTAAAAATACTCAAAACTAAAATGAATGACTTACTTTTGGATTCTTCTATTGTCTTTTTTTTTTTTCTTTTTGGGTCATACCCTGCGATGCACAAGGGTTACTCCTTTCCTTGCTATGCACTCAGGAATTACTCCTGGTGGTGCTCAGGGGACCATATGGGATGCTGGGAATTGAAGCCAGGTCAGCTGTGTGTAAGGCAAACACCCTACTCGCTGTATTATCTCTCTATTTCTTATTGTCTTATACCAGCCGCTTCACTATTCCTTCAGTATACTTTTAATATTCAGTGATAATTTTGTGGACAGTAATAATTTTGCATTGCTTTCTGAATGTACTGTTCTGTGGTTTTTGAAGGGGCTTAGAAATGACTCCAAATCTATTTACATTTTAACTGATGGCTTTGTTAACAAAAATTATATGAAATCCGCCTTGTTTTTCATTAATTTAAGTGTTTTACATCATTTGCTTTCACTTTAAGAGATCCTTGAATTTCACTGGACAGCCTTTATTGAAGAAGACTAGGTGGCAAAAATGCTTTTGAAAATGCAGTTGCTTAGTCCCATCACATATTTTGAATGATAGCCTATAACGTCTGGCAGCTGTTTTTTTTTATTGATTGGCTGAATGATAATCTTCATGTGTTAAAGATTATTCTTGTAGGACTGGAGTGACAGTACAGTGGGTAGGGCTGTCGGCTTGCACACGGTCAGTCTGGGTTTGATTCCCAGCACTCCTGTGGTCCCTGACCACTGCTGGCTGATGCCTGATTACCTCTGGATGTGGCCCAAAAGACCAAAATAACTGCTCAGTTCTGTATCTTGAATATTCTTTGGCATAATTACTAAAATAATAAAAAGTGTTGAAAACTTAATTTCCAGTAGTAATTTTTCTATTTTAGATGTTCCTTAAATTATAAACATGTAACCTAATTGGCTTTCATAGAGATGCTGTCTTCTTACTAAGTAGTTCCCTGCAAGAGTTGGATTTCTCAGAAGAACAAAGCATTTCGCCTGGCTGTGTAATTGCTTTTCTTTGGGGATTATTATGTGATTGATTCAACTAAGCTGAACAAAACTTTTCCCTTAGGTCTCCCCCTTTATGGATCACAGTCTTGTAAATCCCAGTAATTAGAGAGGGGAAATGTGATAATGTTTAAGAAAATCAAGTTTGTAGATTTTAAGTGGGAGCTAAATTAAATGTGTGTTCAGTTTTTCTGTTTTTATGGTTACATCTAGACCACTTCTTTCTATTTGGAAGTGCATAGTTTTTCTTTCTACATTTGTGAAATAAAAGCATCCCCAAGGACAACTTTTCAGCAAGTGTGTATGTGTGGTTGTTAAATTTAGTTACAATCATTGAGACTTTCCCCAAAAATTGGACATCCAGTCTTTTTAGTATAGTCTTGTTTCAGATTTCTTGAAACAATTCTAATATTGGAGATTGTTCTGCTTTTGTTTTATGATCTATGGGGCTTAGGCCATCAGAAATCTTAGAAATCTCTCACAGGTATTTTTAAAAAATTTTATTTTTTATTAGTGAAACACCATGAGGTACAGTTGTAGACTTACAAACTTTTGTGCTTGGATTTCAGTTATACAATGATCGAGTATCTATCCCTTCAACAGTGCCCATTCTCTACCACCAGTGAACCCAGTAGCCCTCCCCCCCTCCCCCCCACCCTGCCCCAACTCTGTGGCAGGGCATTCCCTTTTGTTCTCCCTTTCCTTTAGGGTGTTGTGGTTTTTGGGCCATATTCGGTGATGCTCACGGTTTACTCCAGGCTCTTTACCCAGGGGTATTGCTTGGATTGAACCTGAGTTGTCTGTGTGCCAGGCAAGCACCATACCTGTTATACTATTTCTCTGGTCCCTCTCATAGGCATTTTCTTACCATAATCATCAGTTATGGGAATCTGCGTTCTCTAATTTTTATTGCTTTATGTCTGAATCTTTAATAGTAATCTTTCCCATCTGGGAGAGAATGAACTTGATATGTAAAGCTGCTGCTTAAAGAGAGAGGCTTTTAAAAATCCTTTTTATTATAGCTTTTTTTGCCTTACCTATTAATCATTATTTGGGGGGCAGTATCCAGAGGGGCTTGGTGGCTACTCCTGGCCATGTGCTCTGTGCTTGGGGTCCCTTTTGGCGGTACTCAGACACCAGTAGGTGTTGGGGATCCAGCCCCTGCCTCCCATAGGCAAAAGCCAGTATTCAACCCTTTAAACCATCTTGTGGGCTCTTTTTATTGCTTAAGCCCCCACATAATTTTGTTTTGTTTTGGAGTCATACCTGGTTGTGTTCAGAGCTTACTCCTGGTAGGGCTTGGGGGGGACCATATGGGGTGCCAGGGATGAAATCCAGCCCTGCCTGCTGTACTATCACTCCAGCCCCATTAAATGTTTTCTTATGTAACCAATTTGTTCTTTCCCCTACCATCAAATTCATAAAAAGTTCTACTTACAACATTTTTATTTCAAAACGATTGTGAATTATATAGAATGCATTAAAAACTCACAGGAAACATGTCTTTTCTGTTCTCAGGTTCTGTTCTGGATATAATTAAATACATTGTGGCAAAGGGAGAGCACAAAAGTGGAGTCCTAGATGAGCCTACCATTGCTACGATACTTAAAGAAGTGCTGGAGGGGTTGGAATACCTGCACAAAAATGGACAGATTCACAGGTGTGTAAGCGTCAAAGCATTCTCTTTTGGATATGCAGGACCAGGAGGAAAACTCAGTGAAGCACATTATATCTCCTCCAGTATCTTGAGTCTGGCAGAGCACTGGACTTCCTTTTTGGTGGGAGTGGTAGGGTCTTTCTGAGGAAAGTCAAAGAGAAGAATATTTCCTGTATTACTTGATAACTTGGAGGGTAGAGCATTGTCAGGATGCCCATGTAGTCCTCTGAAATAGAAATTTTTTAATTGGCAAGCAGATCCTTGGGTTTTGTTCGGTCTGCCCCTTCCTGCTGTAAGAGTTCAGCTAATAGTGCAGGGAGGAGGCAGTGACTTTCTAATCAGAGGACATCATCTGTATAGTGACGGCTTTGGACGTCTGACAGTAAGTATACTGTGAAACGTAGGCTAAGATGTAGTCTTACCTAGTTGGCATGTCAGAGCTTTGGAAGCTAAAAAGCTGATCAGACTGAAAGTCAGCAATTCTTCTCATATCTATTAGGAATCGAGGTCATAGGATAGAGTGATACCTTCACAATTAGACAGGTCCATAGAGAATTACAGCTCACTGTAGCAAAAGCTCAGGGGCAGAGCCAATCCTGGGGCTGAAAAACCTAAACTAACTGATGTGCTGGGGGTGTGACTTAGCAGAAGAGCAAAAAGACACCTGGCATGCGTGTGTCCCTGATTTTGATCTTGGCACCACAAAATAAAAGAGTTTCTCAAGTACCTTTATCTGTAATTGACACATTACTGAGGGGCTGTCCTGAATGAGTTTGAGAATGGAAAGTTCTAAAGGGCCCTGTAATTGAGAGAGAGAAGTGGGGGTAGGGGGTAGAATAGAGGAGAACGCAGGAGAGAGGAGGAGAGGGGAGTGAGAGAAAGCTTTGGGAGCCTCACCTGACAATGCTCAGGGGCTACTCCCACCAGATGCTTGGTAGTCACTCCCAGGAGTGTTTCAAGGACCATGCAGTGCTTGGGATCAAACCTGGACCTCCTGTGTGCATTGCATATGTACTGGCCCTTTGAGCTATTTGCCTGACCCAGGACTGGTAGATTTTTATGTTTTATATCTATAACTTCTTGACTAGTTTCTCAGAGTGAAGATCAGAAATATTCCCCTCTCACTTTTGAAATAAGCCCTGAGCATTCTGTTCTCCTTACCCAGAACCTGCTCTTTAGCTTGTGTGTCCTTAATAATCATGATTTCAGAGAAACTTCCTCACTTGGAGAAAATTAAATACTTAAACCTAACCCTTTCAAGCCTTTCTGTCTCACTGCAACAGGAACTGGAAAGCATTTGTTGAGGTGACAGCCAAGAAATTCAGGCTCACTGTATGGTCATACTTAATCATGGAGTTCCTTCTACCCCCTTGACCGTCATGTCAGTAGGACTTCTGTATAACGTTAGGGTTACACAACTTTAAGAAATTATTTAGGGTCTGGAGATAGAGTACCTGAGAGAAGGTTCTTGCCTTGCATGCAAGTGACTCAGTTTAATCCCTGGCAACACGTGGCTCCCTGAACATCATCAGGTCCAGCTCTGGAGAATCCCAGCACCCCTGATGTGACCCTGGAGCTCCCAGGTACCACTGGGCTCACCTGAGCAATCTCCAGCACTGCATGCCCAAGCCGTGCCACATCCCCAGGCATGAACATTGAATAGCCACTTCATTTGGCCAAGAATCACCAGTGGTGATCTTGAGGTCACTACTGTAAGTAGTAACTCTTACTTGTAAGTAGTAACTTTTACTGTAAGCAGTGATTCTTGAGATCTCCTGTGAGGTATCCCTCCCAGTGCCCCCCCCTCACACACACCCCCAAAAAGAGGGTAAAATAAAAAAGAAAATATATTTAGGGGCTGGAAAGTGAACTTGGTGGAGTTGAGCACAGGTTCTGCATGCAGTAAATTTGGGTTTGATCACCAGCACCACATGATCCCTGGAGTTCTGCCAGGAGCAACCACATGGTACAGAATTAGGAGTGGCAAGACCAAAACCAAACCAATATTTGTGGCTGGAGTGATAGCACAGTGGGTAGGGCGTTTGCCTTGCACGTGACCTACCCGGGTTTGATTCCCAGCATCTCATATGGTCCCCTGAGCACTGCCAGCAGGAATTCCTAAGTGCATGAACCAGGAGTAACCCTTGTGCATCACCAGGTGTGATCCAAAAAGAAAAAAAAAAACCTATACAAAAAGACGAAAAAGACTTTCTCAGAAAAATAATAGTTGAGGGAATTTGTCCTGTTGTTCATCGATTTGCTCGAGCAGGCCCAGTAATGTCTCCATTTTGAGACTTGTCCGACCTGAGTTCAATTCCTCTGCCCCTCTCAGAGAGCCTGGCAAGCTACTGAGAGTATCTTGCCCTCTCGGCAAAAGCCTGGCAAGCTACTCGTGACATATTTGATATGCCAAACACAGTAACAGTTGTCACAATGGAGACGTTACTGGGCCCGCTCGAGCAAATCGATGAACAATGGGAGGACAGTGACAGTGACAGTGACAGAGGGAATTTGTCATTGGTAGACCTGTTTTGTAAGAAATGTTAAGACAGGGTACAGGGGGTGATGGGGCACTCACCTTACATGTGTGGGGCTCGAGGGTCAGTTCCCAGGTACTAAGTTATAACTACTGAGTGTGGTTCAAAACTCGCAACACATAAAGCAACAGATTCTACAGTGTTTGAAAAAAGGGGAAGAAATGTTAAAATCTTGAGAGAAGAAAATTATATTAGAAGCTCAAATCAATGTATGACTGAGTTTTAAAGAACCATATGGTAATAAAATGAGATGCTTTTCTTACTAAGAGTGGATTTAGGGGCCAGGAGGTAGTATAGTGACCTGCCCAAGTTCTTTTCCTGGAAGGATATGGTCCCTGGAGCCTTGCTGGGAGTATCCCTGGGATCCGAGAGCCCACAGGTTGGCCCAGGCATCCTCGGCACTGTGCATCCTTGGGCCCTGGTGCTGACCCAACGCACTGGTGGGCTGGGCACTGGTAGAGCTGGTCTAATAATTATCTCCATCTCTAGCATGTTTTTCTCTTTAAAGATTTTTTTGATTTTAAATTTTGGGCCACACCCTCTGTGCTCAGTAGTAACTCCTGGCTCTGCACTCAGGAATTATTTCTGGCAGGGCCCCGGGGACCAAGTGGGATGCTGGGGATTGAACCAGGGTTGGCTGTATGCAGGGCCTCTGCAATTTACTTATGTAAATAAAGTAGTATGCTGTGTAATAGATAAACTTTTAGTTTCAAAAGGGAAGCATGAATTGATTATCTGGAGGATTCATCAGGAAATGTTGTCATTCAAAGTGCAGGCCCTCCTGGAAATGGATTACTTTATCTTTACTTATGAAAGAATGAAATTTTCAGAGCATGAATAGGTAATACCGATGATGTTAAAAATTCAAACACAAAATTGGATTTGATAAGAAAAAACAAATCTTCTTAGATTTGTTGTACTAAATTATGTTAATAGTATGCAACACACACACACACACACATACCTTTAAACACCACTAAAGTGCTGATCTTGGATGCTATGTAATTTTGTAATTCTGGAATCTTGACAGAAGTAGGATATTAGGTGAAAACTTTAAAAGTCACAATGAATTGTCATCATTAGTTGATAATTGTGCAGTCGTACCTGTTCATTAATTGTGGCAAAATGTTAATTAGGGGGGAAAAATAAAGGGAACTTGGCATAAGGTAACTGTACCAACTTCTCACATTTTAATATAAGTATAAAACGATTCTTAATAAGGCATTCAAAGCAAAACCAAACTTAAAAACCTGTTTGGGACTGGAGAAGAGCTCACAGACTGAGTGCATGCTTTGTGTGAGGGAGGCCTACGTTTGATCCCTGGGACCACTGGGGGCAACCCCTGAGCACAGAGCCAGGAGTAGTTGCCAACCATTGCTCAGTGATTGCCTTGCCCAAAATAAAGCAAAATATTGCTTTCCTCAAAAGTTTAGTACCCTGTTCCAGGAGAGACCGTTCCACTATTTGCTTGTGACACTTTTGAGATAGGTTTTGTGTGTGTGTGTACGTGCGTGTATGAGTATGCATGTGTATGCAGGGATGAGGCAGTATAAACAATGCATTCTTTCCTTTGTCTCTTGATTTTGAAAGAAACTGAAATGTAACTTTCACTTTCTCTATACACACGCATATGCATACACACACGGATATATATATGCACATATATATATACACACACACACATATACATCACGATCACGATCATTCTGTTGTTTGTCAATTGCCTCGAGCAGGCACCAAGTAACGTCTCCTCCTTCCTAGCCCTGAGATTTTAAAAGAGCCATGTTCAATGCTCTTTCAGGGCTAGGAGAATGAGACCTATTGTTACTGGTCTTTGGCATATTGAGTACGACACGGGAAGTTTGCCAGACTCTGCCGTACGGGCAGGATACTTTGGGTAGCCTGCTGGGTTCTCCAGAGTAAGAACTAGATAATAAGATGTCAGTTCCGGGAGCTGGGTTTTATAGTCTCTGGGTCTTGGCCGTCGATGGGACCACCTGGCGCCGGCACCAGCTGGTCGGTGTAACGCCTACCTACTGGAAGATGGGGGATCTGGGTGGAGAAGGCCCAGTCCCAAACTTGAGCAGCTTGGGGATCTTAGCCCTGGGACCCACTGGCCTGTGTACCTCTGCCAGTTCTTTCATGCGTGTGAAGAGTGGTCTCAGCAAGGTTGTGGCTGGTTCTGGAGGTCTTTGACTGCCGGGGCTCTGCTCAGGGCAGGGAGGGAAACTCAACCCGCCCCCCTCCAAGGGGCCCAGCGAGGACAGCCAGGCGCGGGGGCAGGAGACTCTGCGCTGTTCTCTTCCGGGACCTGGGTTTTATAGTTTCTGGGTCTTGGCCGTTGATGGGATTACCTGGCGCCGGGGGCACTTGGTGGGTGTGACCCCTGCTGACAGGAAGATGGAGGATCTGGGTGGAGGATGCTCAGCCCCGATCAGAGCAGGCTTGGAGATCTCAGCCCCGGGACCCGCATGCCTTTGTTCCTCTGCTGGTGCTTTCATGCTTGTGGAGAGTGGTCTCAGCAAGGTTGTGGCTGGTTCTGGAGGTCTTCAGCTGTCGGGGCTCTGCTCAGAGCGGGGAGGGAAACTCAACCCGCCCCCCTACAAGGGACCCCGGTGAGGACAGCCAGGCATGGGGGCAGGAGATTCTCTATACATATGTATAGGTGTATGGGGTGTAGATGTGTGTGTGTGTGTATAATTTATATAGTTTATATATATAAAATTTATATATATATAATGAGAGAGAGAGAGAGAGAGAGAGAGAAAGAGAAAGTAGAGAAGGAGAAAAACATAGACTATTTGGAGGCTGGATGATAAGCCCATTAGGCTGGAGCTTATCGTTTACCTACAGGAGCCCCCAGATTTGATCCCAAATACTATATAGATCACCCAGTCCTCCAGGAATGGAAGCATTGTTGAGTGTGATCCATAAACCAAAATAAAACCAAAATTATTTAGGTTGAGATTGTTACATATTAATATATTCACTAGTGTTAATATTAAATAAGCAATGCCACAATTCAGCTGGTCTTTTTGGGGGTGGGAATTGAGAGGTGAGATAATGAGGAGGGGGAAATAAAGGTTTACGTCACTTATTGGATTGATGAACTGAGTATTCTGTTCTACAGAAGGACTTGAGAAGGGTCCTATATGTATATGTGTGTATATATACATACATATTTTTTTGTTTTGTTTTTTGTTTAGGGGCTATACTGAAAGTTTTTAGGGCTTACATAAAATAACAAAATAGGAGACTAACACCCAAGAATAGCCGAGATAAGTACCAGGAGGATTACTCTATGGCTTTGAGGACAGCCACACACGCTAGGGGAAAAGGCAACTCAGATAGAGAAGGGAGCACCAAATAAAGGTGTTAGGAGGTTCCTCTCAGGATGGGAAATGCGTGATGCGAGTAGACTATAGTCCGAACAAGATTGCCACTCAATGTCTCTTTTGCAAACCACAGCACTCAAAAGGAGAGAGATAACAAAAGGGAATGCCCTGCCACTGTGGTAGGGTGGATGGGGGAAGTGGGGTGGGAGGGATACTGGGACTGGTGGTGGTGGAGAATGGGACTGGTGGAGGGATGGGTATTCGATCATTGTATAACTGAAACCCAAGCACAAAAATTTGTAAGTCTATAACTGTACCTCATGGTGTTTCACTAATTAAAAAAAAAGTTTTTAGGGCTTATTCCTGGCTAAGTACTCAGAGATCACTCCTTTCAGGGCTTAGGGGCCCATATCGAGTGCTGGGGATTGAACTCGCGTTGACCATTTGTCTTCTCTTTAGTGACATAGTGGCAGATGAATCTCTGATAGACCTCCTAATCCTAAATTATGTGAGTGCAGATAATATAAAAATGTAGTAAGATAAGAGCCTAGATATAACCCAGTAAAATGAGAGTGATGGCACCAGAGTGATAGTACAGCATATAGGGCACTTGCCTTGCATATGGCTGACCCGGGCTCAGTCCTTGGAACCCTTCCTAGTCCCCCCAAGAGTGTTCTACCAGGAGTGATCCCTGAGGACAGAGCCAGAGTAAGCCCTGAGAACTGCCGGGTGTGGCACCAAACCCATCCCATCCAAAAAGAAAAAGAATGATGTATACTAACTAAAAAACAGAGGAGGAAGTGACTAAATATATGAATATTTTTATTTTGCGGATATTACTCCAGATGAGCTCACTAAAGGGACTTGAGTACTACTGGTTGACTCAGCTGAATGATCTTTGTCAGAGAGGGAAGAGATTGTTCTCAGTTTTCTCCTGTCTGCAGTGTCCTGAGCCAGACACGTTAGGTTTGTTGGGAGGATCATGCAGTCTTCATTCTCAGGCAGTCTCTGGTAAAAAGATCCTAAGAATTGCTTTGATACAAATAAAGTAGAAAGTAGTCACACAATTTCTACTGTGGTGTATGTTCAGGCAAGTGTTGTACCCTATGTAAGTGATGCTGCTCATCAGTTAGGGGACTGTTGCTCATTGTTCACCAGAGAATGATTTTCTGGGCCCACGTGGAAGACTTGAGGTTGGGCCTGGGCAGGCATGGGTGGGTTAGGCTCTTCGCTGCAGACAAGGCTCTCGGGAGCTAGCGAGGCTTTTCTTTCTTGGCTATTTTCTAGAACTGGATCTTTGCTTAATAGGCTATATTTATTTTTAGTCATAAAATTTGGATGGGTGGGGGGCAACTACAGCAGCATTCAGGGTCCACTCTTGGCAGTGCCTAGTGGACCATAAGTCACCACATCTGGTATCAAACTGGGATTGGCTACATGCAAGGCAAGCTCCTTATTCCCTTACTATCCTGCCTCATTTTAAAATGCTGATTATATATTAGGGTTTAGAGAATATATATACCTGCACGGCAAAGCCTAGCAAGTTCCCCGTGGCGCATTCTATATGCCAAACACAGTAACAACAAGTCTCACAATGGAGATGTTACTGGGCCCACTGGAGCAAATCAGTGAACAGCGGGAGGATAGTGCTACAGTGTTACAGTGTATATATATATATAATATATATATATTATATATAAGATGTCATAAAAAAAGGTTCTGATAAGATTTATGACATCTTATTGTCTCATTCCTACTTTGGACAAACTTGCAGGCTATCGAATGTAGCCTGCCCACAGGGCAGAGTCTGGCAAACTCCCTGTGGCGTACCAAATATGCCAAATACCAGTAACAATGATGGGTCTCATTCTCCTAAAGAGCCTTGAATATAATCTCAGGGCTAGGATGAAAGAGACGTTACTGGGGCCTGCTCAAGGCAATCGACGAATAACAGGATGATGAAATGAAATGAAAATTGTTGTTTTGTTTAGGGGCTATACCGAAAGTTTTCAGGGCTTATTCTTGGCTATGTACTCAGGGGTCACTCCTGTCAGGGCTTAGGGGCCCATATTGGGTGCTGGGGATTGAACTCGGGTTGACCATTTTCATGATAAATACCTTACCCATCGTACTGTTTCTCTGGTTTGAAGAAATGTAATTTATGAAAGCTAAAGGATTTTCTAGATTGCCTGATACAGTAGTCTTCTGGATAGTGTAAGATGCTATATCTCACTATAGCTTTTTATTTAGGACATTTGGATGTTAGTACAGAGTACTAATAATTTGAATTTATTCTGTTGGCCTTCGTGCCCTTTCATGCAACATAGAGCATAGAAATATTGCCGTTGTGGTAAATGTAGTAAATAATTGCTATTAATTGTGTGACTCCAAAAATCGATTCTTTTTTAAATATGTAATTTTTTCTTTCTTACAGAGATGTGAAAGCTGGAAATATTCTTCTTGGAGAAGATGGCTCAGTGCAGATTGCAGGTAACAATATTTGTTTTTATTCCTGTGTACTTGTCAGTAAAGTCACACTGCTTTTATGTTTTCTTAGTCTTGCTCCTGTTCCCTGGACCAGCTTTAAGTACTTTGTCGCCACATCCCTGCTGCACCCCAGGAGTCCTCTAGTCTTTTCTCCTTATTTTCACCTGAGATGTTTCTCTAACCATTGATCATTCCCTTCCAGTGATCTATCACTCATTCTCATTAGGGCCTTCTGCTATGGATTCTCAGAACACTTAGTACTTTACTTTGAAGGAAAGCGGTCAAGAAATCGCATTGTGGTTCAGAGTAAATATTTGATAGAGAGGTAATACAGAACTGTTTCTGTCCTAGAGAAATGGGAGGTTTGTCATTTGGATGAGACCTCTCTGCAAGGTGGAGGACACTGTGGGCATATTCAGTGCTGAAGACTTGGAAGTCTATGCCTGCCAAATGTGGCTATCTGGATGGGGCACCCCCTCCTCCAGGCTGTGGTCCTGGAATGCCTGCGCTTAGGTTGGTCTCACACTGCTGTGGGTCCACAAAAGGTCAGGTGTCTCATAGGAAGAAGATGATCACCCCAAATTAAATTATTTTATCACCTTTTAGAAGTTCATTGAGGTCCATATCATCATGCCCTGAGGTAAGGAAATGTTTTGGTGGTACCATATAAAGCTCTGACATAAAGGAGAAGATATTTGACTCCTTTAAAAGCAGCAACATATATTCATATAATGAGGAGCAAATGGCTTTTCATCAGTAAAATGGCAAGCCATAGAATAGAGAAGATATCTGCTGCCTGAGTAACTAACAGAGGGCTCAAATTTAGAATCTATAAGAAGCTCAATAAGGAAAACTCAGAATAAAATGGACAAAAGAGGGCTCAGTTATGGAGCCTATGCTTTGTATGTCTGTGGCCCTGGGTTTGATCCTGCCAGCAACCAGACCAAAAAAAAAAAAGAAAAAAGGGAGGAGGCAGAAGATTGGTATAGGAGCTTCCAAATGACACATTACATATAAATATAATGAAAGGTGTTCAAAGTCATCGGGAATCCCTTCAAAGTAATTCTGTGATTCTACTTTAGGCTGACTGACAGGTCAAACATCTGACTTGTCCACTTGTCAGTGTGGGTGTGGAACAAGGAAATCTCTGGTACTCATAATCATTGGCATAACCATTAATTTGTTTATTTATATTTTGGGCCACACCTGGCAGTTCTCAGGAGCTATTCCTGACACTGTGCCCAGGGGACCATGCGATGCTGGGGATTGAACCCTGGACTTTTGCATGCAAAGCATGCACTCCAGCCCTTTGAGCTGTCTCTCAGGTGCCATTTTACTGACAATGCAGATATGCATACTCTACAACTTTGCTAGACATACAGCTAGAGGAGCTCTGCTTATTTGTGTATTAGTGCTCATAACCATTAAATATTTGATATAATCTTTATTATAATATCCTTTATCAAAAAATAAATGAATTGTAATTTCTATGTTTGAATACTCTTAAGTTATATAAATGAATAGAATCACAGCTATCTATGAAGTCATTAAAAGAACAGAGTAAAAGATACATAAACCGAATATATAAGGTGATAAAAATGTAATATATATTTTATATATATTTTATATATAAGATTTATAAAGTGAACTTAGATGAGTTCAAAACCAGGCATGATTATATGATATTATTTAGGGAGACACACTTGGGTGATAAAGACTTAATGAAGAAAGGATTCTTAAAAGACACCAGATAGGAATCTGCCTTTGCACCTAGACAGAAATCGGATTGGCAGAATCTGATAATGACCTGTTTAGAGCTCAGCAGTCTGTGGAAGACATGCCAACATCAGGGAAAGGCGAGGCTGGTAAATGTGGTTGATTTTTGAGTCAGTTTCAGCTTTTATCAGTACCTGCTGCCCACCCTCCTCTTCTCAGTCAGGTGGCAGGTATCTGGTTTTGGAGCAGCTGACAACGTCTGACAGGAGTCGTGGTAGCCAAATAAGACTTTGTCCTCCAAGTATCAGTAATCTGTGCTATGACCACTGATTGTTGCTTTTGATGACAGAGGTGCAGACGAAGAAGCCACAGCCTTGGTTGTTTTGCCTCCTTCCCCTCTTCAGAGTGACTTCCGGGGGACCTAATAAAAGGCCTGCACTTTTTTCTTTCTCTTCATTTTTCTCCTCTTCCCTTTTTCGGAACCAGACGTTAAAGACTAGCACACTAAAAAAATAACTTCCGATACAGGGATAAAATGGAAAGTGACTACCCATGACCATCAAAAAGGAACAGAAAAGACCTGAGAAGACCTTAAGTTTATGCTCAGGTAATGCTTGGTACAGAGACAACGTTCAGAACAAAACTTCAAATCCAAAACAACCTTTACCAAAACCTAGCAGACTCTGAAGAATTAATAGAATCTCAGAGTTACCCCATTATTAATTTCTAATGTCTGATTAAAAAAAAAGATACAACATACAGTGAAACAGGAAAGTATAGTTTATTGGAAAGAAATAATATGCCTTTAAAAAGACCCAGTATCTGGTCTCCTAAACAAAGAATTTAAAACTGGTCTTAAATATGATACTTAAAGAACTAAAGGAAGACATGGAGAAAATTAAGGAAACTATGAACAAAATGAAACCAATAGTAAAGGGAGAAAATTCAAAAGGGAATTCTGGAGCTTGAAATCATAATAACTTGTGCCGTGAAATGCAAACTTCACACAAAGGAATTAAAATGTCGATTTGAGCTGGTAGAAGACAGAATCAGAGAACTTGAAGAAAGAATGACGGATATCATCAAGTCTGAGCAATCACAGGGAAAAAGATTAAAGTGAACAACAGCCAAAGAAACTAACCCAAAGACTGTCAAGCAGAACATCATACATACTTCATGAGTCTCACAAAGGAAAAGTCAAGGGAGTGGGGCTAAAAAGAATGTGAAAACTTAATTTTGTCTATAATGACAAAATTTGATGGTTTGGCGCAACAATTATGAACACCCAAAGAGATAAGTGATGAACTCAAAAGAGACCCACATTGTAGTGACTTTTATTTTTTTCATATGCTTATTACTGAACTAGCCTGCTAGTGCAAGAAGCATGCAAAGAGAAAAATATATCCTAATAAAAATATGCCCCATGTTAGTGGTGTTTTCTGCACAGTATGGCAAGATGGTAGAATTCTGATATGGCATTACTATGTGTGTCATCTCATATGACTCCTTCTAAACCTGGCCTGGTTCTTCTCCAATGTCTTCTCTTGGAGTTGTACTTGATTTAATTTTCACTTCTCATACAAATCCACTGGGGAATGGGACAATTCTGCTTTCATTTCTTGGCCAGGAATCACTTGATCTAAAATTTTTTTTGTGAAAAGACATGGTGAGAGTAAGAGCCAGTTGCACAGAACATGATGGATAGCAGAGAACAAGAGTGAGGTATAATTAAAAATAAACAAATAAATGAAACACAAAGAGAAAAACTCTAAAGGAGCAGGAGAAAAACAACTCGCATTCAAGGAATCCTCAGTATTGTTATCAGCATATTTCTCATCAGATGCTTTGGAGTCCTAGAAGCATTGGACTGGTGTGTTCGAAGTGCTAAAAGGAAAAATAATTATTAACCAAGAATCCTGTGTTCAGCATAACTGGCTTCAAAAACGAGGGAGATACCAAAGACATTTACATCTAAAAGCTGAGGGAGTTTGTTGCCACTAGACCTGCCCTGCAAGAAATACCAAGGGATTCCTGCAAGTGACATGAAAGGATACTAGACACTAGTCTGAAGCAGTCTGAAGAAGTGAAGATCTCAATAAAGGTAAACGTATGGGCAAGTATAAAAGCTAGTGTTGCTGCAGCAATGATTTGTAACTGCTCTCTTGTTACCTACCTGTCTAAGGGGTCTAAGACATTAAAACAATTATTGAACTAGAAATTAATATAATTTTGGTTTATAACCCCTTATTTTTCTGCATACTTTGAGAGGCTAATGTATTTCAAAGAATTATTGTTGGCTTCAGGGCACATGTTGTATTTATTAATATGTAATTCTCCAACCCTCGCCCCCCATTCCCCTGACGCCGATATCCAAATGGGGTAGGAAGAGAGTTAAAGGAACAGTTGTTGTATGTTATTGAAGTTAAGCTGGTATAGATTCAAAATAGTGTTAGTGCCAGAGAGAGAGCTTGGTGGGCTCTAGTGCATGCTTTATGTGCTGGAGGCCTGGACTTGATCCCCAGCACCATGTGGTCTCCCAAGTACCACTTGCAGCCACTCCTGAGCACTGAGCCACGAGATGTCCAGAGCACTGCCAGTTAAGACACAAAAACCAAACAAAATAAATAGTTTATAACTTAATAATGGTGTCATCCTGATAACCACAAAGAAAATTGCTGTGCAAAGGGAAATGTGAACATCAACAAAACACAAAATATAGTAAAGGAATCACAAAGAAGCTATAAGGCATATAGAGGGGGAAAAGACAAAGTGAGGAGCCAGAAAGATAGTGCAGCAGGTGGGGTGTTTGCCTTGCATGGGGCCGATTTGGGTTCTGTCCCTAGCACACCAAATGGTCCCTGAACCCACCAGGAATAAGCCCTGGGCACCATTGGGTATGGCCCCAAATCACAAAAACAAGACTAAAACAGATCCTCACAAAGTGAAGGAAGACCCTCCTTCTCAGTAATGACTTTAATGGATTAAACTCACCAATCAAAAACTCAAAATGAATAAAAGCACATGGTCCAGTGCCAGAGAGAGCACAAGAGTGCGTAACAGGTGTTAATGCACTTACCTTGCACACGGCTGACCCCAGTTCAGTCCTGGCATATGGTTCCTAAGAACCCTGTGGTGATCCCTGAGGGCGGAGGCAGAAGTAAACCCTGAGCACTGCCAGGTGTGGCCCCCAAACCAAACCAAACCAACCCCCACATGATCCAATATATGGTCTATAAGAGACTCAAATTCCAGAGACAGGAAAGAATGGAAAGGAGGTACTGGATGTAAATAGTGAAGGAGAGCAGGAATGGCTGTACTGCTATTAAATGCAGCAGACTTATCAAAATTTTAAAAGTTACGAAGAAGCACATTACATTTTTAAATTTTGAGTGCTCAGGTTGGAACCCAGAAATCATATTTGGGAGGCATTCACCCTTCCTCTAACTACATCCTGGGTTCAAGTGTTAAGAATTAATAAAAGGTTCAGTGCAGCAAGATTATATACTGATAAAATATATAAAGTAAAACCCAACAGAACTAAAGGGAGAAACAAACTCCACTGTAGTAGGTGGAGACATTCAAAGTTAATGATGGATTGAACAACCAAAAAGAAGAAAAAGAGATTGAAGACTTCAGTAGCTGATACCAACTAGATCATACGGACACATACAGAATGCCGTACCCCACAGCAATACACATTTTCTAAGTGCGTATGTCAGGTACACTTTTCCAGGTTAGACCATTTGTTAGTTCACAAACCAAATCAGTATACTTAAAAATAGATATTACGCAGATTATCTTCTAATCACCGTGTACTAATATTAGAAATCAATAATAGAAGTAAACCTAGAAACTTTACAAAATTTTGGAGGTTGAACAATGCATTTAACCACTGGCTTACAGAAGACCTCACAAAGAAAATTAGAATATACCTCTAAACAAATGAAAGTGAAAATAGCAATCAAAACTTAAGGGACACAGGAACAAATGGATAGCTATAAACACATTAAAATGCAATAAAGAGGGGGACCAGAGAATTAGTTCAGTGGGTAGGTGCTTGCCTTGCATGCGGTAGACCTGGGTTCATTCCCTGGCAACCCTTATGGTCCCTTGAGCCCTGCCAGGAGTGATCCCTGAGCACAGAGCCAGGAGTAAGTCCTCAGCCCTGTCAGGTTGCCAGGTCCCCAAGGAAAAAGAGGACCCTGGAATGTGAGTCAGTGGTAGAACACCTGCATTCCAAGTGTGAGGCCACAAGTTTGATCCATGGCACCTCCCCACATGGTCAACTCCTGGCACACTCTAGCAAAGTGTGTGACTCCTGGCTTTCTCCAATCATGTGCATGAGCATTGCAAAGAGTATGTGTAACTCCTGGAGCACTTCACCTAGTGTGCACCTTGTGTGTAATACGTAATATCACCTAGATATTACCCTACATCTCAGTAATTGTAACAAGGGAAGGGGAGAAAAGAAAGAAAATATGTTAAAGGATGAAACTGAACTAAACATAGAAGGAAGGAAATAGAGATTAGATTTGACATAAATCAGAAATGAAAGAAATGAAAAATAGAAATCATTGAAATCAAAAGTTGGTTCTTTGAAAACCTTGACAAACTTTTAAGTAGATTGAATTGACTAAGGAGAAAGGAGTGAAAGCTAAAATTAGGATGGAAGACGGGAATGTTAGTACTGATTATACAGAAATTAAAAGGATTATACAAGCACACTAGGAGCAGTAGAACTCCAGCAAGTTGAATGATGTAGACAGAGTGTACAAATTCCTTGAACCACAAAGCCTACCAAGACTGAATCACAAGTAAATAGCGTTTGATCTACAACTATTAAGATTGAATCAGTAATCAAAATCACTTGCCAGAAGAAAAGTCCTGGATCTGAGGACTTTGTTGATGAATTCTACCGAACATTTAACAACTAACAACCTCCTCAGATTTTTCAGAAATTTGAAGAAGGAGGGAATGCTTCCTAGCACTTTGTAAAAGACTTTCATGACCACGATACCAAAGAAAGATAGAGACATCCAGGGAAACTTCAGAACGATCTCCTGTATGGACTTTTTATGCAAAAATTCTTAGCAAAATAGTAGTGAATAAAAACCAGGAGAAGTGGCTTATACACAATGATCAAATAGGCTCCCCCCTCCCCCTCTTTGTTGTGAGAGCATATGAAAACTGACATGGTAACAGATCATATTAGTAGAATGAGTGGGGTAAAAACCCACATGATCATCTCAGTAAATGTTTAAAAGCATTTGAGAAAATTCACACCTTTTCCTGACAAAAATATACAGCAAATTAGGAGAGAAGGAAGCATCCTCAAGGATATTCCTTGAGCAACTTCCTCAAATAACTAAAAACCGTATTTGAAAGCCCACAGTGAATATCATGATCTTTCATCAAAGGGAAAACTTTCCTCTAAGACCAGAAACAGAGCAAAGAGCTTTATTTGTGTTACTTATGCTCATTCATCACAGTACTGGAAATTCTAATTAGGAAGAAGTACAATTATCTTTTGTTTTCAGGTGGCATGATGTTATTTTTTTTTTTAGAAAACTCAAAACATTTCACACACTCAACAAAATGATTTGTACTAAGAAATTGGATCAACAAAGCAGGTTACAAAAGTACCACACAGAAGTCATTTTTTTTTTCTTAAACTAACAAAAAACTATCTGGAAGGAAATTATAAAAACAATTACATTTATAAATAATACCCCCCAAGAAAAATCAATAATTAAGAGTCAACTTAATCAAGAGGGTAAAATGACGTGTACAACGAAAAGTGAAAAACATTGCTGATAAGAAATGAAGGAAAACACATTCCATGTTCATGAACTGGAAAACTTAATGTTAAAATGTCAATACTACCCAATGTATTCTGTATAAATTTGGTGCAATCCTTTTCAAAATCCCACTTTTTTTATGTTGTTTTTTTTTAAATTGGCGGTCCACACCTGCTGATTCCCAGAGCAGGTCTCTGGGACCTACATGTGTTGCTAGAGGTGAAACCCAGGTTCATCATGTGCAAGCCTGTAGTACCTCTCTGACCCATACATTGTTTAATTTTTTATTATTTGGAGGCTCAGAGGTGGTGGTGCCTCAGGCCCTTCTAGTAGTGCTGAAGCCCAGTTGTGCCAGGGTCCCATCAGAACTGCATCAGGTGGTGTTGACAATTGTGTTCTGCCACTTGAATGAGAGCCTGCAGCAGTTGTTTTAACAAATAGTTTTGATAAAGGCTAGTATTTTCTTGGAAAAATAATGAATGTGGATGGACTACCATCTAATGCCATCTATAAAATGAACTCAAAATGAATATATAAATGCAAAACCTGAAATAGAACTTTTAGGAGGGGGCTGGAGAGGTAGCTCACCAGGCTGGTGCACACATGTTGCATGCTGGGTCCCAGGTTTAATCCCTAGCACTGCATGGTCTTCCTGAGCACTGTTTGGAGCAAATCCTGAGCACAGAACCAGGAGTAGCCTCTGAGCACAGCCGGGTCTGGCCCTGAAATGAATGACTGAATAAAGGAAGACTGACTCTTTCTTAGAAGGAAATAATACATCAAGAGAGTAACGTTTAATTTGTCAATGATTTCTTGCCAAAGACATAGGGAGAAAAATAAAAAATAGAGAAAATGGGTCTTAAAACAATAAAAACATTTGTGCATCAAAATACTTTGACATTGAATCAAAAGGCAGCCCACAGAGTGTGAGAAAAAAAAAAAAGACAGATCTTTACTAATAGGGGACTAATACCCAGAATCCATAAAAGAACTCCTGAAACTAAGTCTGAGAAATAATCCATTAAAATTTGACTTAACATTTCTCCAGGGACTGGAGTGATAGTACAGTGGGCAGAACAGTTGCCTTGCATGTGGCCAACCTGGATTTGTTCCCCAGCATCTCATATGGTCACCCTAGCACTGCCAGGAGTAATTCCTGAGTGCAGAGGTAGGAGTAACGCCTGAGTATCGCTGGGTATGGCCCCCAAAATCTCCCCCCAAAAATATACATTTCTCCAGTGAATAAAAATTATCAGAAAGTACATGAAGAGATGTTCAGGATCAAAAATTACCAGGGAAATGCACATCAAAATTACAGTGAGGTTTATCAGAATGATAAAATTAAGAAATGGCTCATTTTGGTGAGGATATGACAAAATCAGAATTCTTGTGTCTTGTTGGTTGGAAATTAAAGTGGGATAGCTGCTGTGGAAAGCAGTCTTGACAGTCTCCCAAACAGTTAAAACTAAGATTACCACACGATCCAGCAGGTCTTCTGAAAATTAAGGGCAGGATCTGGAAGAACTGTTTACACATATCCACTGTCAAAGCAGCATTGGTCCTAATGGCTAAAACGTGGAAGTGATCCAGATGTCTGTTGCCAGATGATTGTATAAGAAAAATGTGGCATAGACATAAACATAGAATATTTTCAGCCATGCAAAGGAGATTCTGACAATATATTGTTAATTGGGTGAATCCTGAGAATATTATGCTAATGAAATAAGCCAGAGACAACAAGACAAATCCTCCAAAATGCATTTTATCTATAGTATTTTATATAGTCAAAATCATAGAGATAGAAAATAGGATGTTTATCAGACCCTGAGGAATATAGGCAAGGTAGAATTATTGTTTAATGATACAGCATTTCTGGGAGGACTAAAAGAATACATTGAAACTGGAGGAAAACTGGGGGTTCTCTTGGGGGTAAAAAAATAATGAAATATGATGCTGGTGACACCTTAATTTAGTCAAGATGCTCAACAGAAGAGAAAGTGTCATGTTGTTTGGAATAAGGACCATCAATAACTAATTATATTATTTTCCTATTCATTTGATCTTAGTTACTCTACTTCTAATACCTTGTTGTCCTACTCTATTGCAGACTTTGGGGTTAGTGCCTTTTTAGCAACCGGTGGCGATATTACCCGAAATAAAGTCCGGAAGACTTTTGTGGGCACACCTTGCTGGATGGCACCTGAAGTTATGGAACAGGTACTGTGTTTTTATCTTTTTCAAGTGATGTAAGGTTTGCTTACAAAAATATAAAAGTATATTTGATTGAAACTCTGAACTTATACCAGAGACTACCTAAAGAATAGAATAAGGTTGTTTTAGCAGCCAGGAGATAACACAGAGTGTTGCAGTATACGGTGTGCTTGAGACCCAGTTGATCCCCGACACCATATGCCAACCTTAGCACCCACCAGGACTCTGGCAGCCTCCACACTGCTGGGCATTGAACTACCAGCCCAGAGGCCACATGACCAAGGATTTCTGGGGACGACCCTGGACCCCCACACATTATTTGGTGGGGCTCCCCTCAGGAAAAAAAATATTTGGGAGATAGTGCTATAGACTAGAACCGATGCGCTGCATGCAAGGGACCCGGGTTTGGTTCCTGGCACTGCGCAGTTCCTCTGAGTACCACCAGGAGTCACCCAGAAGCAACAAACGGGCGTAGTCCTTGGAACATTTCCAAACGTGGCTCCAAAGCAAAACAGAAATTTGTCTTCACAGTAATGATTTTAATAATATGCTTCTTAGTACGGATGAAATAACTTGATGTTTTTACCTGTAGTTTCATTGCTCTGATTCTTGAAGGACTCGTTTCCTCCCTGCCCTGTTTCCATGTGCCCTGAATGCAGTCTGGTGGCATGTTGGTTCTGGTTTCTTTTACTTTACCTTCCTTGGTGGCAAATTTTTTTTCTTTTTGGGTCACACTCAGTGATGCTCAGGGGTTACTCCTGGCTCTGCACTCAGGAATTACTCCTGGTGGTGCTTGGGGAACTATAAGGGATGCCGAGGAGTAAACTCAGGTCAGCTGCATGCAAGGCAGACACCCTCCCACTGTACTATCGCTGCAGCCCCACTTGGCGGCATTTTCATCTGTCCATGACTCCCATCTTGCTCCCTGCCCCAGCCTTCCTGGTGGAGCTGCCGCCTCCCCTTGGTCAGGCTGTTTCTCTGGCTTTCCCTCTGCAAGCCACTGACACTTTTCCAGACCTTGTTCTTGACTCATGACTGCACCTGCTTGCTAAATCTTCTCATCTTTGCATACCTGCCAGTGGTTTCTAAATCATTTCCAATCCAGTCTTGTTTGTTAAGCCGCCAGAGATATTTTCAACTTTTCATATGAATGTTTTACATGAATGTTTTACAGAAATATCAAATTCAGTAGGCAGAACAGAATTTGTTTTTTGCCGCGTTACAGATCCTGTATCACCGCTTTGAGGGCTGAATTCTCACCATCAGGTTAGGGTGGTGTCTGAGCACACGGCACCTATCAGCTAGGCTAATGAGAAAGCCACACTTTCTCTCTTGCCTACATAGCACGGGGTGAAGGCCCTACAAGGCGTGCAGTGCTGCACCCGGCAGGGCAGTGGAGAAACTTGATGTGAAGGACAGGCCCAAGATAGATCATCCTGGTGCCCTGCTGAGGCTGAGATGGGCCTGATTAAATGAGTCAGTGCTTGAATATAGGATTAGGATACCCTAGATGGTGCTCAGGAGGCCCTGGGGGCCCACCAGCGAGTGCTTCTCAGCTGGTGGTTCATTGCAAGGGCCTGAGGATGCTGCTTGTGCCCTAAGGTACTGGAGGTTACTCACCCCATCCCTCAGCAGTGCCTGGGGTCCTCCAGGGCTACTGTACAGTTCACAGGGAACCACATGGGGACGATTAGGTGCATGCTGTCCTATCTCATGGCCCCCATATAAAATATTTTAGTGAATAGCAACTCTTAGCAATCTCCCCATAATTTGTGAATAATTGGGTTGTGGGTCTTTTCACTATTAATAGTTGTATTATTTAGCTTTTGACTGCTCTGCCCCCAACCCCTTTTTTGGGTAGGGCATCCGAGGACACTTGTGGTGCTCAGGGATCACAGGGGCCATTTGGTGCTGGGAATGAAAGCCAGGGCCTTGCATGTGCAAGATGTACTCTACCATTCGAGCCATACCCCAGCCCTCGGTTACTTGGTTTTGTTTTGGGGCTACATTGACAGTGCTCAGGGATCACTCCCAGTGGGCTCAGGGGACCCTGTGTGGGGCCTGGGATTGAACCTGGGTCAGCTGCATGCGAAGCAAATGCCTTCCCTTCTGTACTATTGCTCTAGCCCAGCCCTTGGCTACTTTAAAAAGTGCTTTTAGGGACCCAAACAAGTTAGGGTAGAGGCCCTGCTTCACCTGCAAGTTTCCAGGTTTTATTTCTGTCACCATTGCCTCCCTTCCCCCCCTTCCAAAAAGTACTGTGGTATGGTAAAAGTAGTCACATATGTCTTTTTGTTATTACAGGTTCGAGGTTATGATTTCAAAGCTGACATCTGGAGTTTCGGGATCACGGCAATTGAACTGGCCACAGGGGCAGCTCCTTACCATAAATATCCGCCAATGAAGGTGAGGCCCTGGTACTCTGCTCATGGCTCAGGTCCTCTGGAAAGCCCTTTTTATTTGATAGGCTTTTTATTGTTGCTGTTGCTGTTGCTGCTTCAAGGGTCACAGTTGTGGATCTTGGGCAGTTGTGTGGTTCTAGGTATCAAGCCCAGGGCATCACACATGCAAGGCATGTACTCTCCACTTGATTCACATCTTCAACTTCTCACTTTTCATTCTTTTTTGAGGGGAGAGGAGGGTGGGGGCACAGCTGGTGTTACTTGTGGACTACTCCTGGCTCAGTGCTCCAGGGTTGCTCCCAGAGATGCTTGGGGTCTGTGTGGTACTGGGTATTGAACCCGTGTCTCATGGCATGCAAAACATGTGCTCCAGCCTGTTGAGCTATTTCCCAGCCTCATTTATCTTTCTTAATCATAATGTTCTACCTTGTATTCTTTCTAACTCCTATAGCAATTAAAACTTCGTGTACTAGATATTTGGCATTGAATGACGTTACGTTGTGGTTGGCCTTTTCTATAGTGTCCTCCATCTACTGGTTCTGTTCCTTGTTGGAGATCAGGGTGTGATGTTTAATGTGTGTGCATCACAGTAACCTGTGTCAGGAAGCCTCTATAGGGATGGTGATCTTTTCTACTAAATTAGGCTCTTGGAAGTGGTACATGTCAATAGCTTTCCGTAGCTAAATCTATTTGTTACTTATCTGTGCCAAGCACTGTTTTAAGTGTTGTCATTTATTAAATAATCTGTGCAGAGAAGTATTTTCTGCCACACATACGAGTATTCTTATTATTACTGACCAATGTGCAAATAAAATTGTGTGGTGAGACACTTGGCAGCTTTATTAAAAGGCTGTTGATTCTGTCCTTGATTTAGTTTTTGCCTAAAATGCAGTTGCTAATCCTGTCGTCAACATTAATAACAGAATGATATATTTTTTTAAAATGTGAAGCACTCTGATTTACAATACATTCATGCATTCAGCACAGTGCACACCCTCCGCCAGTGTTCACTTCTCTCCATCACTGTCTCAGGGTTTGTCCCCTTAGCCTCCAACCTACCCCCAGTACGTTTAGTTCTGTGCAGAATGAGAATTTTGTGTTTTAAGATGGTACTGCCAGTACTGTTGGTAACCATTTGTATCTTGCACATGTGTGATCCCCCTTTAAAAAAAAATTCTTATTGAATATCCATGAGATAGACCATTACAAAGCTGTTAATTGCTTTTCACTCATACAGTGATCCAACATCCATCCCTCCACCAGTGTACATTTTCCACCACCAGTGTCCCCAGTATCCCTCCTCTACCCCGCAATCCCACTCTTTTCCCTGCTTCTATGGCAGGTTCCCTCTTACTTTCTCTCTCTACTTATGGGCATTATGGTTTGTAATACAGATAATAAGAGTCCATCATGATTGGTCCTTTACTTTCAGCACACATCTCCCATCCTGAGCGATCCCTCCAGCTGTCATTGACTTAGTGATCTCTTCTCTGTCCCAGCTGCCTTCTCCCCCAGCTCATGAGGCAGGCTTCCAACTGTGGAGCAATCTTTCTGGCCCTGTCTCTACTGGGTGTTGGTCTCATATTATGATATTTTATCTTCCACAGTATGAGTGTAGTCATTTTATGTCTGTCCCTCTCTTTCTGATTATTTCACAGCATGATATGCTCCATGACCATCCACTTATAAGCAAACTTCATGACTTCATCTTTCCTAACATTTGCATAATATTCCATTGTGTAGATGTACTAACGTTTCTTTAAACAGTCATCTATTCTCGGGCACTCAGGTTGTTTCCAGATTCTGGCTATTGTAAACAGTGCTGCAATGAACATACAGGTGCAGATGTCATTTCTACTGTGCTCTTTTGCACCCTCAGGCTATATTCTGAGAAATGGTATTGTGGGGTCATATGGAAAATCAGTTTCTAGTTTTTTAAGGTATGCCCATATTGTTTTCCAAAAAGGCTGGACCATTCAGCATTCCCACCAACAATGAAAGAGAGTTCCTTTCTCCCCACATCCACGTCAGCACTGGTTGTTCTTGTTCTTTTTTGATGTGTGCCAGTCTCTGTGGTGTGAGAAGATATCTCATTGTTGTTTTGATTTGCATCTCCCTGATGATTAGTTGAGCAATTTTTCGTGTGCCTTTGGCCATTTGTATTTCTTTTTTGTTTCTCTCTCCTTTTATGCATTATGGTTTGCAATACTAAGAGGTCATCATGTTTGTTTAGGGCAGCTAGCATTTTTATCAGGAAGGTAAGGCTGGAGTAGCTTTTTTAACTGGGGGCAGCTTTGGGATGTTGATGTGACTGCCGAGGCTTCTGGACGTACAGGGAGGTAGGGGAGGTAGCTCATCCCAACCCAGAGAAAGCCTGGAGATTTCAGTCACAAAATGCGCATACCTGAATTTTCTCCTGTGGGCCAGGAAAAGATATTACAGCAGGTGAAATTTTGTATGTGACTGACCCAGATTTGATCACCAGCACTTAATATGGTCCCCTGAGCTCTGCCAGAAGCAGTCCCTAAGCACAGAGTGAGGAGTAAGCCCTGAGCACCACTGGTGGTGCACCAAAACAGACATACCAACAATGTAGGGGCTCTGGAAGAGCTCCTGCCTTGCAGATATGAAACTGCAGGTTCAGTCCCCAGAACCACCTCACATGCCAAGTATGATACCAATGGGACAGCAAAATGTGTGATTTCCAGTACACGACAACCAAATGTATGGGAGCACCACATCTAAAGTATGTGACCTCTGGTGAGCACTGCAACTCTCCTACGAGCACTATAAGCAAGACATTAGACATTGCTAGCAAGTTTGTACAAACCCAATCATCACTAGCCAAGGGAAGGAGAAGAGACAGACGAATCTATAGTATAGTGAGAAATAAAGTCATAGGATATTATAATAAGCCTTTCTATATTTTCAAATTCAAAATACATGTATATTGTTAGTGTATGTTTGATTATGTGAAAGACAAGTTTTATTCCAGAATCGTGCTTTTCCTCCTGGGAGAAAGTAGATATTCTCAAGATTTGGAAGGGTTGGGGCTGGAGTGATAGCACAGCGGGTAGGGCGTTTGCCTTGCATGCGGCTGACCTGGGTCCGATTCCTAGCATCCCATATGGTCCCCTGAGCTACCTCCAGGAGTAATTCCTGAGTGCAGAGCCAGGAGTAACCCCTGTGCACCTGTGCATTGCCAGGTGTGACCCCAAAAGCCCCCTCCCCCAAAAAAAAAGATTTGGAAGGGCTTTTTTTTTTTCCTTTTTATAACTTTGAGATGGGAGGCTATTTAGTAACCTAAAGAAATGCATTTTCTGAGGGTCAGGGAAATTTAGGACACATCCAACAGTGCTCAAGGACTACTTCTGGCTTAGTGCACGAGGATTTATGTAGTCAGTGCTGGGGATTCAAACTGGGGTTAGCAGGATGCATGGCAAGCTCCTTAACCCCCATATGATCTCTCTGGCTTCAGAAATGAATTCGTTTTTAAAGTAGTATAGGGAAGAAGATAAGATTTAGTTGGTGATTCTTGCAATTGCAGTTATATGCAAACCTGTTAGCTCACAAAGAAATACTGCTACCACTCTGATTCCATTTTAGTAAGTACAAATGCAGTAAAATTGAATCTGAAAAGCAAGTAATTTTTCATAATACCACATTTTAGTTTTGTTTCATTTAAACTTGTGTTTAGAAACAACATGCTTTTATTTTTTAATGAAAGGCATAAAAAAATTAAAAAAACACAGAATCCCAAATGCAATATTGTGACCTTCATTTCTTAGGAGACCCATGCACCAATCCGGTAGGCTGTGGTGAAAGTCAAGAGAGATAGTGGATGGACAAATAAGGACTAGATTGTCAGTTACTGCAGAAGTAGAAAGAATGAGAACTGAAAGGCGGGCCAGCATTTCTTTTTTAATTTTTTGTGCCTATGAGACACCCCTGGGCACAGAACCAAACGTAGTCCCAAAGCTCCATTGGTGTGGCCCCAAAACCAAAAGAAAAAATGTAATTATATGCTGGGAAGTTATCTGTATTGCACATGTTAGCTACAATATCTAATTTCATTGAATTTCATTGAATCTTTGGAAATGTCCTTTTTGTTCTTACAGGTTTTAATGCTGACACTGCAGAATGATCCTCCTTCTTTGGAAACTGGTATTCAAGATAAAGAAATGCTGAAAAAATATGGAAAATCATTTAGAAAAATGATTTCATTGTGCCTTCAAAAGGATCCAGAAAAAAGGTAAAAGTATGAGATAAAGCTTTCTTGTCTCTTTATCTGATATTCCTCCACCCCTCTCGGAGAGCCCGGCAAGCTACCGAGAGTATCTTGCCTGCACGACAAAGCCTGGCAAGCTACCCGTGACATACTCGATATGCCAAACACAGTAACAACAAAGTCTCAAAATGGAGACGTTACTGGGCCCGCTCGAGCTAATCGATGAACAACGGGAGGACAGTGACAGTGACAGAAACCGTTACATCAAGATTTTAGGGTTTTTGGCTTTTTTTTCCTTTTTTCTTTTGGATCATACCTGGCAATGCTCAGGGGTTACTCCTGGCTCTTCATTAAAAAATTACTCCTGGCGGTTGGAGGGGGTGGGTGAGACACCTCCCACCCCAAGGGACCCAGCCCCAGCAGCTGAAAACCTCCAAAATGCAACTGCCGCCATGATCATGGCCGCTATCCACTTGCTCTGGCTGAATCCCACCCACGAGTGAACCTATTCCTGGACTGCACAGCCGCAGACACTTCATAGGACAGTCCCTACCCATACTGCAAGAGTACTGTACCACATTTGATAGGGATCAAAGTAGGCAGCCAATCTTAGAGGGAAATTTTATGTAAAAGCACACAAGGCTCAACCTTTAATAACATGTTAGTGATCTCTTATAGAAGGGCTTTATGGTCCCTGGCTGAAATACAACAATCTTCAAACTCTTTCCTCTAAGGATACTTTTTTGTAGTATTCTCAGCAGTTTTTCCATAACAAACAATACAAAGTATATTATTTCGGTTCTTCTTTGGGACAGGGATTGGAGTTCGGGATGGAAAATTCAAAATACGGTGGTGGGACGGTGTAATGATGGTGGGATTGATATTTGAATATTAAATGTAATCAAATATTGTGAACTACTTTATAACAAAAAAATTTAAAAAATAAAGGGACTGGTCCTTTTGGAAAACAGTATGGATGATTCTCAAAAAATGAGAAATTGAGCTCCCATTTGACCCAGCAATACCACTCCTGGGAATATATCCTGGAGAGAGAAAAAAGTATAGTCGAAATGACATCTGCACTTCTGTGTTTATTGCTGCACTGTTCACAGTAGCCAAAATTTGGAAAAAAACTTGAGTGCCTGAGAACAGATGACTGGTTAAAGAAACTTTGGTACATCTACACAATGGAATACTATGCAGCTGTTAGAAAAGATGAAGTCATGAAATTTATATACAAGTGGTTCTAAATGGAAAGTATCATGCTAAGTAAAATGAGCCAGAAAGAGAGGGACAGACATAGAAAGACTGCACTCATCTGGGGAATATAATGCAACAGAATGGGAGCCAAAAACCCAGGAATAGTTGAGATAAGTACCAGGAGGTCTGCTCCAGGGCTTGGAAGCCGGCAGCATAGCACACGGTGGGGGAAAGGAAGCTCAGATAAAGAAGGAAACACCAAGTGAAGGTTGTTTGGAGGACTCACTTGTGATGCAAGATGTGTGCTGAAAGTAGACTGAAACACGATGGCCACTTAATACCTCTATTGTAAACTACAACACCCTAAAGGAAAGAGTGAGCAAAAGGGAATGCCCTGCCACAGAGGTGGGGTGGGGTTGGGGGAGGGGATGGGGTGTGGGGGTGGGAGGGCTACTAGGATCATTGGTAGTGGAGAATGGGGACTGGTGGAGGGATGGCTACTCCATCATTGTATAACTGAAACCCAAGCACGAAAGTTTGTAAGTCTACAACTGTATCTCATGGTGTTTCACTAATAAAAAAAAATTAAAAATAAAGGAGGTGAAATGATAGCACAGTGGGTAGGGCATTTGCTTTGTATGCGGCCAACTGGGTTTGATTCCCAGCATCCCATATGGTTCCCTGAGCACCGCCAGGAGTAATTCCTGAGTGCAGAGCCAGGAGTAACCCCTGTGCATTGCTGGGTGTGACCCAAAAAGGAAAAAAAAAGATGTACTAAAACAAAAAAAAAATAGCACCTTTGATTTAAAAAAAATTACTCCTGGCAGTACCGGGGGACCATATGGGATGCTGTGGTGTGGCCCCAAAACCAAAAGAAAAGAAAAAAATGTGATTATATGCTGGGAGGTTATCTGTATTGCACATATTAGCTACAATATCTAATTTTATTGAATCTTTGGAAATGTGCATTTTATTCTTTCTGGTTTTAATGCTGATACTGCAGAATGATCCTCCTTCTTTGGAAACTGGGTCAGCCATATGCAAGGCAAATGCCCTACCCCTGTAATATTGCTCCAGCCCCTGCATCAAGTCTTAAGCATTATATTACTAAAGTCCAGTCCTGAACAGCTTTGTAAGGGTCTATCTCATAGTGATTAAATAAAAAAGTTAAAAAATTAAAAAATAAATGTATTTTATTGAGATTTTTGAAAAGAGAAAAATGCATGAGAAACTGTCATCCATAATCAAAAACTGTGATACAAAAGCAACTTATTATTACATCTCCTATAGATCACAGCTATTAAAATATTGGATATTTCTCATTATTGTCTATGGAGAAAATATAAAGTTTTAGTTTTGAAAATTGAAGAAAAAAAGAATCATACGCACACTGTTTGCGGGGATAAATATTCAGAACTTCAGAAAAATAATGGAGATTATTATCCTAGATTGAGAACAAATAAATTTATCCAGATTCCTAAATTTTGTTTTGTTTTGTTTTGGGGTCACACCCAGTGGTGCTCAGGGGTTACGCTTGGCTCTGTGCTCGGGAATTAAATGGGACGCCAGGGCTTGAACCTGGTTTGGGTAAATGCAGGGCAACCATAGCTTTGCTATACTCTCTAGTCCCAATAATTGCTTTAATGAATGTTTATTATTTAAATACTGTAACAAATACAGTCATATAGCTAGTTTAGCAGTATCCTTGCTAATTTCTTAGAATTATGAAACTGTATGCTTTAAATTCTGTATTGATAAAATGCCAGGTTTTTGGACAGAGATCATTCCAACAGGCTGGAGCACGCACTTTGCTTGTGAGCATTCAGGAGGCCTGGGTTTCGTGCCTTCTGCCTCATTTTCCCCCGACCACTGGTTGGAGCACTCCATGAGCACTAAATTAGGAGTATCTTCCCCTGAACACCAGTTGTGGGGCCCTAGAACAAATCAAAAAAGCCAAATTAGTATGAATTTTCAGTTTTCTCTTAAGAGTTAAAATGAAACAAACTTTGGCGCATATGCTGCCCAAGCCTACGTGCTGCTTGCGCCCATGTGGCCGAGCACATGTGGCAGCTGAGCACATGTGTCGCCCGCATCTCCCCTCTTGAGATGTGTACTTTCATGTTTTCGAGTCTAATGCTGGTATATGTGTAGAGGCTCTCTCCGCCCTTGGAGAAGCCCGCGTTCTCTCTTGAGTATGTTACTTTCTCTCACCCTCTCCCCCTCCACACCTTAAAAATCCTCCAAATAAAATCTGTTTATTTCAAAGAAAAAAGAATGAAACAAACTTTCATGTTATTTATCATTTTAATTACAAGTTAACCCTTTATCTTTTAATTGGAATTATAGTAATTGAACCAAAACTCAAAAGAGCTTGTCAGTACTAAACAAGTTAGATCGCAAGCAAGAACACTTATAAAAGATACACACACACACACACACACACACACACACACACACGTGTATGTACATGACCAAGAATGTCAACTAAGCTTTTTTTGTTCCACACCTGTGGCACTCAGAGTGCACTGCTGTGTCTGTGCTCAGGGATTATTCCTGGCACAGCTCAGGGGACCGCAAGGGGTGCTGGGAATTGAACCTGGATCAGTGTTGTATAAGGCAGGAGCCCTGCTCATTGTACTATCTCCTCAGCCCCCGCAAACAAGATTTTTATCTATCTTTATAAATTCAGAAGAATCATAAGAATCATAGAACATTGTGATTATTGCAAAAAAGAATTTCAGTGCTATCTAATCTTGGAGGTGGAACTAGAATTCAGAATTCCTCTTTCTTAACTGAGGAATCTGTTCTATGTCTAAGTCTGTTTAACATAAATTTGATTTGGCCCTTAAACAGTAAACACTCTTTAAATTTGTTTTCTCTAAAGATCAACAGAAGCGAAAGAGTTTAGTTGACTCTGTCATGTCGTTAGTAATTAGTCACGTCATTAGTAATTTAATCCTGTTTTTTTAGTGATAGGGGCCTCAGATTTTACTTTGGAAATACTGAAACAGGTAAGAAAAATCATCTACTTAAGTTCAAGGTCCGAAATTTTAGAGCATTTGCTATTTCGGATAAAGTTTACAGGAAAAATAAGGAACTCTTTGTTTTGCCAAGTTAGTTGACTCAAATTACAAAATTACCTTGTAACAACACTATATAAATCTTACAGGAATAGACAAAACAAATCCAGAAATAAGTTTGCAATAGAGGAAGATCTTCAAGTACTAGCAATAAATTATTAGAGGAAACTATATATTAGGGAGGAACTGACAGGAACTAGTCCTGTGTCTGCCATTAGTGGGATGGCACTCATTCCAGTAATCTGCTAAGTTGAATGTTTAACTTTCACATAAACCCTGGAAATAATATCCGTAGTAATAGATTATACCAGAAGAACATACATGATAGCACAGTGGGTAGGGCATTTGCCTTGCACGTGGCCAACCTGGCTAACCCAGGTTCGATTCCTCTACCCCTCTCGGAGAGCCCGGCAAGCTGCTGAGAGTATCTCTCCCCCATGGCAAAGCCTGGCAAGCTCCCTGTGACGTATTCGATATGCCAAACACAGTAACAAGTCTGACACTGGAGACGTTACTGGGCCTGCTTGAGCAAATTGATGAACAACGGGAGGACAGTGACAGTAATAGATTAGACCAGAAAAACATAAACTCTAGCTACCATCGCAAAGACTCCATAGAAATATCCTCCTGAATTATCCAGCCATCTGATGTGGACTTTCTGCAGATTTAACAGTCTTAATTTACGCTATTTGTATTATTCAGGAACCAACAGGATCAGGTAGTTAGTGAAAACTACTGCTTTGCCAGTAGTTTTTTTTTTGGACAGAAGCAGTTGCCAAACTGCACTGTTGGAATGCCTTCAAAATCCAGACCACGAGATTCCTGCACATAATGTCCACTGAAGAAGGGGTCACAACTCAAGATTACAGAGCTCAGTGAAATGTGACACCATGAGTTAGAATCAGCAGCTAGAGCTACAGGAAGGTAATGATCCATGAATGTTTGATCAGTCAGAAACAAAGTAACGTGATTAGGATCATAAAAGAAAAAATCAGAACCACAGGAATAGGACTATGACCCCAAAACACAAGTACCAAGTAGGAATTTTAAATTAGTAATTAAAATTAAAAAACATGATCATTTGCCTTCTTGAATAGTTAGGCTAGATTTAGTAACTTTTGATGAATGGAGTATGAGAAAGGAAAAATAGCAACTGTGGAGTGAGAAAATCTGGCAGAGACCTCCCTTAGCAACTGTTCTCTGCTACCACCATCAGTGAGACTTGCTGATAGGCACTCCTGAGAGAGTACTGAGAAAGGCACTCGCTTCTCCCTCCCATCACTAACTCCTATGTATGATGAGAAAGCATCAGACTAACCCCCATTTAGGGATAGGCAGTGAACTTTCTGACCGGAACTCCTTAAAGGGTCAAGGAAAAGGAAAGACTGGCAAAGGGTCATAAGTGAGAAGACTCTTAAGGAAACATGAAAGGTTCCACACAGCACAGTGTCCTTGGTTAGACCCTGGAACTGAAAGACCAGAAAACATAAAGGGTGTTCATGGGGGAATGATGTGTATGTGCATATGTGTGTGCAAGGAGTGGGGGTAAGGGTCCAGTAGTTAATTCCGTGGTTTAGTTGGTAGTAGTGTACTGAGTTAATATTTTTAGTTACATTTTTAGTAATTATACTAGGACTAATATTAAGAGAAACTGGTGGTGGTTATATACGAATTCTATATGAGCTCGTCTCTTTTGTTGAGTTGGAAACCATTTAAAAATAAGACCTTTTTTAAAAAGAAAATGATTTGGGGCTCTTCCAAAATGTAAAATTAAAATTCTGTCTTGTTTAGAACATTTTTTTTTAATTTTTAAAAAAATTTTTTAGTGAAACACCATGAGGTACAGTTGTGGACAAGTTTTTGTGCTTGGGTTTCAGTGATCGAGTACCCATCCCTCCACCAGTGCCCATTCTCCACCACCAGTGATCCCCGTATCCCTCCCACCTCCCCCCAACACCCCGCCCCATTACTCCCATCCCCCCCTCTGTGGCAGGGCATTTGAGGAACCCCTCTTAGCCCAGACTGACCAGTTCCCAAAGGCAAAGTACTGGCTTAGGCTGTGGCTTCAGGAAGACTATCCAAGAGAGAACCAGGAAGCAGTCTGGGTGCTCTGAACAGGCCTGAGGCTCTCTCCAGAGCATATCCAGGGCCTTGCAGTGTCTTCACACCACAGAGAGACTGGGTCATGTTTTCACAAACCTGAGCCCTGAGACCTTTGAAGGAGAATCGGGGAAAGGACATTTTCCCAGGGCTGCCCGGAGCCTGGTCCTGTGCATTTACTGTCAGTGGCTCTCAGGGAAGGATCCAGCTGTCTCCCTGTGTTTGACGTTCAGGGTCCTGGTGGGCACATGCAGGTGGTGTCAGGGATCATACTTGGGGCCTCATGCCTGCATGGCAGGTGCTCTGGCCATCCACCAAGCCCTCCCAGGGCTGTTGTGAGTGAAGATGAGCCCCCTCACATTTCCGACGTTTCACTGAGGGAGGGTCTCCCGTGTCTGCGGGCACCGACTTCCGCATCCTCAGTGGCATTTGCTTCGTTTGTTTAGGACATTTTAAAGAAAATTTTGAGGGGCTGAAGTGATAGTATGGTGTAGGGCATTTGCCTTGCATGCGGCTTACCTGGGTTTGATCCCCAGCATCCCATATAGTCCCCTGAGCAACACCAGGAGTAATTCTTGAGTGCAGAGCCAGGAGTAACCCCTGAGCATCACCTGGTGTGAACCAGAAAGCTGTCCACTGTCCACTGTCCTCCCGTTGTTCATTGATTTGCTCGAGCGGGCCCAGTAACGTCTCTATTGGAGACTTTGTTGTTACTGTATTTGGCATATCGAATACATCACGGGTAGCTTGCCAGGCTCTGCCGTGCGGGCGAGATACTCTCGGTAGCTTGCCGGGCTCTCTGAGAGGGGTGGAGGAATCGAACTCGGGTCAGCCATGTTGGCTGCGTGCAAGGCAAACGCCCTACCACTGTGCTATCGCTCCAGAAAGCTAAAAAAAGAAAAAGAAAATTTTGAATGGGCTATTCAGATAGCCAATAAAATTGAGATTTTTTTCACTTTTTCTATTCAATGATATACCGAATTTATATAACATTTTGCTTTTAAAAAGCAGGATAAGAACGGAGGCATATATTGAGTTTTTGCATTTTGCTATGTAAGAAACTACGTCTGTTTTTGCAGATGGAAAAGTCCATAGTATAGTTGAATTAACTTTATTACTTCTCTTTTCTGGTTTGTAGACCTACAGCAGCAGAATTATTAAGGCACAAATTTTTTCAAAAAGCAAAGGTAAGAGAGTCTGTCTTTTGATTTTATGTGTTTTTTATGATGTCTCAATTAACCTAGATTCGGTTCAGTACTCAAAAGTTCCATTTTCTTGAAGTGATACTATTTTGAAAAATAATAGTTTGTGAAATAATTTCCAAGGGCACTATGCAGTCTTAGTAATTAGGGTATGCTTTAGAATCAGTAAATGTGTTTTTCTTTTGGACAAATTACCATCAGGTTAGACTTATAATCTGTGAGATATACTGAACTCTCATCTCAAGCTTTATGACTGAGTTTGTAAACATCTCATTTTCTGGTGATATCAAATAAGTGAGATGTTACTGTAGTTGGAAATGTGGGACCATGATAGTAAGGCCAGCTGTCACAGGTGACATTCATCTGCTGCCTTCCTGCTCTGTCACATCTATGCGGCCATGGGCTCTTGTTCGAGAGGCCCATTCAGAATTGAAGATGAACACTTTTCTCAGCATCATTATAAAACAGCAACTATGTCACCTTTAATTGTGAGTATTTCTGAAGTCTTTAAGGAGAAAATCTTGTTTTCTTCTCTAGAACAAAGAATTTCTTCAAGAAAAAATACTGCAGAGAGCGCCAACCATTTCTGAAAGAGCTAAAAAGGTAAATGGAGATTAACTTAGATTTCTTGGAAATTAGAGATTTACTTTTACATCTTGCAAGTACATGTTAATTAATACTTTATTAACAAGATGAGCTGTTTATTAACTTTATTAACTCCTTTCCTTTCAGTTCTCTCATTAGCATCCTTTGGTATATTAGTTCAGCATATATCATGTATATTGCTATATTCCTGTATCCCTAATGTTATTCACTGGGATACAAAAAATATGATAGACAGCTAATGAATTGCAAGTTTAAAAATTAAAAAGAGCCAGGATGTGACTCATATGTGGAACCCTGAGTTTGGTCCCTACATCCCACGCTGCTCCCTGGATGGATCCCTTTAGAGCAACAAACCACCAAAAATAAAACAAAACAATATACATTGAAAATCTAGCAGAGCACGGTCTTCTTTATTTTGGGATTATTTTATGTAATCCTTTTCTATTGTTTCAATGTCTTGATGCATAAAACCATGGGTTAAATCTTTGAACTATCATTTCATCTGAGAAGAATTTTTGTGATGTTCGAATGTAGAGTACAAAGTAGAAGAAAAGTTAATGGTTGTGATTAGACGTAACAGAGATTGTGTAGCGAGCAAGTGAAGACTGAAAAATAGGAATTTGTATGAAAGATTTTAGTGGGAAAATATGATTTTATCTTAGTATTCTGAAATAAGAGAGGATTGGTTTTCTCTCTAGTATCAGTCATGACTATAATCCACATTTCTGTTCTTCATGGGCAGGTTCGGAGAGTCCCGGGTTCCAGTGGCCGTCTTCATAAGACAGAGGATGGAGGCTGGGAGTGGAGTGATGATGAATTTGATGAGGAAAGTGAGGAAGGGAAAGCAGCAATTTCACAACTCAGGGTAAGTTTTGTTGAACTGCTTTGACTAGAGCTCTTTTTGTCTTGGAGCCTTTGGAGAATGCTATATTCTGTGATTTTGCTTATTGAACTAGTTAAGATAGAACACAGGCATGAGTGACAAATTTTCTTGAATAACTTAATAATAGGAGCCTAATTAAAATTTTTCAGAGTTTTTAAAATCTATTTTTTATTGAGTCACTGTGAGATATACAAATACAAAGTTATTCATGATTGAGTTTCAGTCACACAATGTTCTAACATCCATCCTTAGACCAGTGCACGTTACCTGTGTCCCCAATTTCTCTCCCACTCTCCTCCCCACCCAGCCTAATTAATTTAATGTGGAAAAGTAGATGGGAACATCTTGATTGTGGTAATATTTCACTGTATCACTGTCATTCTGTTGGTCATCGATTGCCTCGAGCAGGCCCCAGTAACGTCTCCTTCGTCCTAGCCCTGAGATTTTAAAAAGTGCCACATTCGAGGCTCTTTCAGGGTCAGGAGAATGAGACCCATCATTGTTACTGGTGTTTGGCATATTGAATATGCCAGGGGGAGTTTGCCAGACTCTGCCGTGTGGGCAGGATACTTTTGGTAGTCCGTCAGGTTCTCCAGAGTAAGACCTAGAAAATAAGATACTGTGCAGCCATTCACAGCCGCATGGTTCTGGAAGCAGGGTTTTATAACCTCTGGGTCTTGGCCGTTGATGGAATTACACGACGCCAGGGCAGTTGGTGGGTGTGATGCCTGGAAGATGGGGGATCTGGGTGGAGAGGCCCCAGTCCCAATTTGAGCAGGCTTGGAGATTTACACCCCGGGTCCCGCACACCTGGGTTCCTCGGCCAGTTCCTTCATGCGTGAGGCTCGTCTGAATGTGTGGAGAGTGGTCTTTAGCATGGCTGCAGCTGGAACCGGAGGTCTTCAGCTGCCGGGACTCTGCTCGGGGTGGAGAGGGAAACTCAACCTACCCTCCTCCAAGGGGCCCCAGTGAGGACAGCCAGGCGTGGAGGCAGGAGACTCTGCGCTGTTCTCTTCCAGGAGCAGGGTTTTATAGTCTCTGGGTCTTGGCTGTTGATGGGATTACACGGCGCGGGGGCGGGGAGGGGGCAGTTGGTGGGTGTGATGCCTGGAAGATAGGGGATCTGGGTGGAGGAGGCTCCAGTCCCAATCCGCTCGTGGTAATATTTAGGCTGTATAAAAATAACCCAAATCCAGAAATGAAAATTTCTGTGTTTGAGATGAAAATATATCTAATAGGATCAATGACTGACCAGATAATGCAAAAGGAAAGATAAGTGTACTTGCAGGCCACTTAAACAGTAGAAACTTTTATCCTGAAGTCTGCTAATCTACCCACAGTCTAGAGTAGAATGGGGGAGGAAGATACAGATCATAGCCTTCACAGGTCATGACCTTTTCTTGTGGGATAAGTTGTAGTATATATCTATCACTCAATCACTTAACTTCCCGTTAGTCGTCGATTTGCCCAAGCGGGCGCCAGTAACGTCTCCATTTGTCCCTGTATAAAGGCCTCCGCTCTTTCGCGCGCGCCTCCGGGCCGCGGCAGCCGGGGACCCGTCGAGCACCCCCGAGCCCCCCTCCCCTCCCCCCGGCTGTACCATGGTCACCCCCTGCCTCAGCAGCCCGTTGAGCCCCGCCTCCCGACTCGGGAGGCGGGACGACGAACAGAACCTGCGGGCGCCAGTGAAGAAGAGCCGGCGCCCGCGCCTCCGGAGGAAGCAGCCGCTGCAGCCGCTGCAGCCTTGCCAGCTCCCGGGAGACTCGGGCGTCTGCGACCTCTTGGAGTCCCCCAGCTCCGGCTCGGAAGGCGCAGACAGCCCCGCGGCGTCCGCGGCGCGAGCCTGCTGCAGCCGCCTGCCCGGCCCTGCCCAGCCGTTGGTGCAGCTCGACCTCCAGACCTTCCGCGACTACGGTCAGAGCTGCTACGCCTTCCGCAGGGCGCGGGAGAGCCAGTTCCACCCGCGGGAGTCGCTGGCGCGGCAGCCACAAGTAACGGCTGAGTCCCGCTGTAAGCTGCTCAGCTGGCTCATCCCGGTGCACCGTCAGTTTGGCCTCTCCTTCGAGTCGCTGTGTCTGACCGTGAACACTCTGGACCGCTTCTTTACCACCACACCTGTGGCTGCAGATTGCAGATTGCTTTCCATATATCTATATTCACTTTCAAAATAAAAATCTTTGGATTCTGTGTCTAAGCTATATTCCCAGCCCTTCTACCTGCTTTTAGGATCCACTGCGCACTAACACTTATAAATCTTAGCAGTAGTAAACATTGATGTTGTTTATGAAATGTGCTTTTTTGCGGGGGGAAGCAAAAAAGTTTTTGTCAGTAAAACTTACTTGGAAAGATGTGAGGGGACTGAAAGAGAAGAAGTACTGTTCATGAGGTTCTCCAGAATGGAAAGGCAAAGAGGCATAGACAAGCAAGCAAGATAGGTGTTCCTGGGAGAACACGGGCTTAAAGCGCAAGCTTGAAATGACATTTTTGAGTGTACTTCTTTTTGCTTTCTTTTTTGCTTTTTGGGACACACCCGACAGTACTCAGGGATTACTTGGGGGATCGTATAGGATGTTGGGAACTGAACCTTTTGCCGGCCATGCGTAAGGCAAACGCCCTACCTGCTGTGCTATTGCTCCAACCCGAAGTATGCTTCTTTTGAAGAACTAAGTTATAAAGATTTTACCAGAAAAACCTGGCAAACATTTATGAAGCTCTAGGCTAGAGGAGACAGTACAGATAAGACATTTTCCTCGAATGTGGTCGCTTTGACCATAGTTTTCAGGACCTGGCACCATATATGGGGTCACTCCTGAGCACAGAGCCAGAAATAGCCCCTGAGAACTGCCAGGTATGGCCCCCAAGCTCAAAACGCAATGTAAAAGCCAGAAACTGTTTATTAAGCTCTAACCCTGGAAACCTCTGCAGCTAATCTGCACATTTGTTTGTTGATGATTATAATTTTCTCTGGTGCTCAGGCCTCCTATCAAAGGACTCGGGAGACTGTGCACCGGGAGTCTCAGCCCGGCTCCTGTGTGCAGAGCATGCTCTCTGCCCTCTGGTCTCTCCCCACCTGCCTGGGGTGTGCTGCCTTACAAACAGGAGACAGTTTTCTTTTCTTTGCTTTTTCATGATTCCTCTGAATTGGTGATCTCTTGTAATGTAACATTCAAGTGACCAGGGGGAGCTAGAGTTACATTGACTTTGTGATCTGTTGTGTTTTACGGATGATATTAATTCTTCCACTGCTCAGCAAAGTAATTGAAAAGATAAAGATGTTCTGTCAGTGTCTGATTATTATTAACTCTGCAAGAGAAGTATATAAAGTGATGATTCTGAATACTTAGTAGCTTTTTAGTACCCTAATACACAGGTACAACATAGGAACTTAGAGACTTTGTTCACAGAGTATCTTTCTATATTTATCATGTCATCCCGTGTTTCTCTTGTCCCTTAAACCATCTTTGATAACATAAATAAGAGTTTTTTAAATTAAGAGAGGGTCAGAGCGAAGGAACAGCAGGCAGGGCATTTTTCTTGTCTGTGGCCAACCTTGGTTCAATCCCTGGCATCCCACATGGTCCCGAGCACTGCCAGGAGTGATTCATGAATGCAGAGCCAGGAGTAACCCCGAATCCCGGGGCATCACAGGGTGTGGTCCCAAAACAAGCAAAATCTTTTCTCTCTCCTTTTTGTTGTTGTTGTTGTTGTTGTAAGATTCACCAGTCTTTTCTTCTGTAGTATCTAACAAGTTTTTAATCTTATCTAGACTATTTTTCATTTCAGTTATAGTAATAGTCTAGAAGCTTGATTTGGTGTTTAAATTTTTTATTTACTTTTTCATTTCCATGTCTCCAACTTTTAAAAATATGTAATATAATTACAATAACTATGTTAATGTCTTTGTGAATTCTAACATCCATGACAGTTCTGGAAAGTTTTGTTTGACTCTTCTCATTATGACCTAGAGAGTGTTTCTCTGAATGGAGGAGTTAGATCTATGAGGCAGAGAGACTACGGTCAATATAGTTCATAGAGTTCCGGGGAGAGGGAGCTACAAAGAGAGGAAGCCTTAGAGATTGACATTGCCCTTTTGAGTAGTTAGCAGAATAGTTATCGATGATGTGTGAAAAACTACCTGAGACTAGGAATCAGTGTCCATGCTTACACAAATGCAGGAAGCACCATTTCCACCAGCCAGACTAGGAACAACTTAGAATCAACCAATTAATAAAGAGCAGCAAAACAGGAACATCAGGCATACCTTAGGGTCAGGTGGTGATCACTAATGCCTTTTCCTGCTAAAATGTAAGGTCTCCTTGAAACAATGACTGATTCCAGAGTTTACACGGGGAAAAATAATCAGATCTGTCTGGAATACCCCATTTTATCAGGAAGAAATTTTTTATTAAAAAAGACTATATTTCAGGAGTCTGCTTGAATGGATTCCCATTGTCCAGTTAGGGATACCCTTAAATCACAATTGTTAATTGCGGTAATAAATTACAGCAGTTCATTCTTTTTTTTTGGGGGGGGGGGAGGTCATACCTGCCAATGCTCAATAGTTACTCCTGGCTTTGCACTCAGGATTTACTCTTGGTGGTACTCGGGGAACTATATGGGATGCTGGGGATCGAACCCAGGTCAGCCGAATGCAAAGCAAATGCCCTACCTTCTGTACTATCCCTCCAGCCACAGTAGTTCATTCTTAACCAGGACTTTGCAGTTTCAGTTACTCCTAAAAATCGCATATCACTTAATCACTTAACTTCCCGTTAGTTGTCGATTTGCTCGAGCGGGCGCCAGTAACGTCTCCATTTGTCCCTGTCGCGTGCTAGTGTAGCCCAATGGCATCTGTTCGCTCTGGGAACATGAAGAGCCTCAAACTGATCATTCATGATCTTCATGAAGAACTCTGACCATCCGGTAGGTGGGCGGCCACCTGGTCTTTTGACATCCCGTGGAATCCAGTCAGTAACAGCTCTCGTCCAGCGGTCGTCTTTAAATCTCATTACGTGACCAGCCCATCTGATTTTTGACACCTTGGCAAATGAGACAGCGTCCCTGATTCTCGATCGTCGACGGATGTCGGAACTCCGGATTTTTTCTCTCATTTGAGTGAAACGTGATATTCCAAGCATAGCTCTTTCTATTCTTCTTTGGGAGACCTGAATAGCGTTCTCATCCTGTTTGCGTAGGGCCCAGGTCTCTGAGGCATATGTTAATGCAGCAAGAACAGTGGAATCAAAGAGATGTGTCCGGAGCCGGAGGTTCTTCGTCCTCTTAGCTATTTCTTCGATGTTCTTGAAGGCGTTCCAAGCCGCTCTCTTCCTCCTGCGCAGCTCGGGTGCCAGGTCATTTGTCATGTTGACTTCTCGACCTAGGTACACATAGCTGTTGCATTCGGAGATGGTCATTCCGCTGAGAGCGAATGGGGCATCAGGAACGAAGCTGTTTCTCATAAACATTGTCTTCGTAAGATTCAGCTGTAGTCCTACCTTTCCACACTCACGGTCAAAGTCGGCCAGCATTTGTGCCGCTTGGCTGATGTTTGGTGTTATTAAAACAATGTCATCAGCAAAGCGGAGGTGGTGTAATTGCCGACCATCTATCTTCACTCCCATTCCTTCCCATTCCAGTCGTCGCATGATGTTCTCGAGGGTGGCACTGAAGAGTTTCGGTGAAATGGTATCACCCTGCCGAACCCCTCTCCTGACATCAACGATTACTTCTTTGTAGAATGGTGAGATCCTGGTAGTGAATCCGCAATACAGCTCACGGAGGATCTTGATGTATTGGGCTTGAATGCCCTGATTGGCTAGGGCTTCAATGACCACTTCCGTCTCAACAGGCCTTCTTTAAATCAATGAACGTTAAACAGAGCGGCATCTTGAACTCCCGAGAAACCTCAATGAGTTTGGTTATTGTGTGGATATGGTCGATGGTGCTGAATCCTTTGCGGAACCCGGCTTGCTTGCATGGTTGTCCTTCATCTAGTGTTCTGCCAATCCTATTTAGGATGACTCGAGTGAACAACTTGTAGATGACAGACAATAGGCAGATCGGGTGATGGTTGCCAATGTCATGGATGTCTCCCTTCTTGAACAGTAGTACAGTCCTGCTGGTTTTCCATTGGGACGGAACCTTGCATTCAGACAGGTAGCGAGTGAAGAGAGAAAAATCGCATATACACAATACATTTTGAGAGAGACAGAATGGGAAATTGAAAGGGTGTGTGTATTTATATAACTTCCTTCAGGGAAAAAAATGTATGTAGGGGCTAGTACAGCAGGTAGGACACTTACCTTGGCACTCTCTGACCTGGGATTGATCCTCAGCGTCCCATAAGGTTCCCTGAGCATTCATTAACAGGAGTGTTTCCTGAGTGCAGAGCCAGGAGTGATCCTTGAGTATTGCTAGGGCTTACCCAAAAACTGAAAAAAGGGGGGGTAGGGGATTAGGGAGGGATGATAGGAGGGAACCCTGGAACACTGGTGCTGGGAAATGTACACTGGTAGAGGGATGATTGTTGGAACACTGTATGACTGAAACCTAATCATGAACAGCTTTGTAAGGGTCTTGCAGTGGTTCAATTGAAAAAATAAAAGGATATGTGGAATTACAAATTGTTTACAAATTATTTTTGAGTTCTGGCAAAAAGGTGGGAACAGACTACCCTCTTATAAGGGGGAACTATCATATGAATTACTTTTAAAAAAAATAAAAACAGAATCTGTGAGTCCATATCTATAATAGGTTCATAATATAGAAATACCTAAGGGCCAGAGTGGTAGTACAGTGAGTAGGGCATTTGTTGTGCTCATGGCCAATCCAGGGTCCATCCATAGCATTTCATGTGGTCCCCTGAACTCCACCAGTAGTGATCCCTGAGCACAGAGCCAAGAGTAAGCCCTGAGTACCACCAATCTGGTCCAAAAACCAAAAAAAATTAACAAAACAAGCCCATGAATAGATATATGAATATATAAATATTACATAATGGGTACTAAATAAGTGCTATCTTGGCAGATATGAAGGAGTGTTAGAGGTAGAACATCATTTTATAGCCACCATAAAGCAGTTATAAAAATTAAATGAGGTCCGGAGTGATAGTACAGTGGGTAGGGCATTTGCCTTGCATGCGGCCAACCGAGTTTGATCCGTGGCATCACATGTGGTTCCCTGACCACCACCAGGAGTGACTCCTTAGAGTAGGCCATAAGTAAGCCTTGGACATAACCAGGTGTTGATCCAAAACAAAATAAAAACAAACACAGAAGATTAGAGTAGGCAGGGTCATCATGGGCTGCTAAATGTAGCAAGATATTTTGATGAGTAGGATTTCTACATAGTTGTTTTGGTTTGGTTTGGTTTGGTTTGGGGTCACACCTGGTGATGCTTAGGGGTCACTCCTGGCTCTGCATTTAATAATCACTTCTGGCGTTTCTCAGGGGACCATATGGGCTGCTGTTGATTGAACCTGGGTCAACTGCTTGCAATGCAAACGCAATGCCCTACCCACTGTGCTATCACTCCAATCCAGGATTTTGACATAGTTTTAAAATGCTTCTCCACAGACTGCCTATGAGATGTAAGAGGGAAAAGTTATTGTTATATACTAGAGAAACCAGAAAATGCCCTGATTACATTGTTAAAATTAACATCACCAGTGAGAGGGTCAAATAACTGGGTGTTCTGTAGGATGCGGACATTGGGAGACACAATTCACTCTGTAGGATTCCAGCTGGGAATTTGTGTCTTTCTAATCTGAAGAAAAATTAGGTAAACTGAAGATGAGAAGTATTAAAGTGGGAAAGGGAACTTTAGTTTTCAAAATTCTTACAGTTCGGAGATAAAAGTCAAAAGTGTCAATGACAACTAACTGTAATACATAGCTGCAGACTAGAAGAAAGTAAGTAGAAAAACTAAATTATGGACAATAACTTAGATTAAAAGTTTTGCATCATTTTTAAACTTCCTGAAGTTGTTAATTACAGACCGAAGCTTTGAAAGAATATCCCTGTTCTTTAATAAATTAACGTTAAATTTGTACAGGTCAGATTACAGTTAATTTTTCAGTTTTAGTTCTGAAAAATTTCGTTTTCTCAATCAAAAAACACATAGTCTAGGACTGGAACAATAGCACAGCAAGGTAGGGTGTTTGCCTTGTACGTGGCTAACCCAGGTTTGATTCCCAGAATCCCATATGGTCCCCTGAGCACTGACAGGAGTGATTCCTGAGTGCAAAGCCAAGAATAACCCTTGAGCATAACCAGGTGTGACCCAAGAAGCAAAAAAAAAAAAAGCACATAATCAAGTACAAAATAAAATTAATGCAATATATTTTAGATGCAGAGTTGAAAGCTTGTTTATGTAAATGAGAATAGATATATATATTTAGTGATATGAATTTATTTACATAGATTAAAATATGGCAATCAGTCCTCACAAATTGACTTTTATTGGTTTATTTTCTGATAATTCCATTTGCCACTCCTTTAACTTTCATTGGAGCAAGCATGAATTAAAATTTTTATGTGCCTGATCAGTAGGCAAATCAGGGATGGAAGGAAAATGGACAAAATGGTGGGTGGAACGCACACTGGTGGTGGGATTTGTGTTGGAGTGCTGTGGGCCTGGAACAGCTGGACGACGAACAGCTTTGTCAATCATCATGTTTTAATAAAAATAAAATATAAAAAATTTCAAAGCATGTATCAGTGTTATAATCCTCAAAGAGGTGATGGATGATTAGCTTGACGGTGTTGAGTTTTACCTTTGTTCTGGAATCTGATATTCCAGGACATAGGATATCATGAACATGTCATGTAGACGGAATTGTACTTTGTGAAATGTGACTTTCCAGTGAAAATGAATGAAATGAATGAAATGGAGTTAACCAGCATTTCAACATTCCATGCAGCGTGGAACTGACTATAAGCAATTTGAATTTTGAATTAACAGGTCTTCTTTTTGGTATTTCTTTCAGTCTCCCCGAGTGAAAGAGTCATTATCAAATTCTGAGGTAAGTAGTTGCAGTTAGAGAATCTTTGAAGTGTATGTGCTTTTTGTTTGGTTTTAAGGGGAAGCATATTTGTTGGTATGTATCTGAATGGGAATGAGAATTTGTGCCTGCTGAGTGTTATCTGTGATTGTCCTGGGCTTGGACAGGCCCTTGCAGTAAGTTTTGTTGCCGTTGCACTCGTTTAGAAGTTGTCCTAATGGATATTCTTCATGAATTGCTTTTTTGGCATGGTTAATTAAAAGTAGTCTTTTTGCATTAAACTTTCTAGAAGTTTATCATAATCCATCTTTCCTTTTTTAATTTGATTTTATTTCTAATCTCTTACTTTATTTTGTTTTCATTTTGGGAGGACCTCCCAGGCAGAGTTCAGGGAGACTCTCCTGGCTGTACTTGATAAGTCTGGCTGGATGAGTCAGTGCTAGTGTCCAAGTATTTGCCTGGCATCTGCCCGACCCCAGTTTGGTCCCCAGTACCACATATGCTTCCTAAATACCACCAAACAGAACATCGCCAGTGCCCAAGGATGCAGTGGTGCTTGGACCCTGGAGCGCCAGGGACCAGAGGGCCACAACCTGCACTGCTCGGGTCATCCCGTCTGCTCCTGGTGGTGCTGATGATCAAAGTGTGGTCCCACGCCTACAAAACATGCCCCCTGGCCCGTGTAGTGTTTCCTCAAACCTGTAGCCTCCTCTTCAGTCAGATTGATTCTGTTGCCTGTCATTTCTGTGTCAGTGGGCTCAGTAGTCTTCTGAGTGGGATCCTGTTAGATCGTGCCTCCTGCTTGGTCCCTGCAGAAAAGCCCTTCTGTGGGGGCGCTGATGTGCATGCCTCTGCCTCTGAGCAGCCTGCTCTCCACTGCCCTGCATCACTTCCACCATGGGTTCATCTGAGCTTCTCTCTGCTTCTCTAAACCATTTTCTCTTGCTCCTGTGCCTAATCTAATTAGTACATTCAGCGATGCTATTTTGATGGACAAAGGGATAGAATTGTTCGATAGTAATAGTTAAAAATAAATGTCATAGGAACTGGATGGAGAAGACATCTGGATGCTTGCCTTGCGCAAGGCTGACCTGGGTTCAATTCCCAGCACTACATATGATCCCCTGAACTCTACCAAGAATAAGTCCTGAGCTTTGCTGGTCGTAACTCCCCGAAAACAAAATGGGGTAGAGAAAAAAAATGGCTCTTCTGGAGAAGAAAATTAGTTACTACTATACCACATGAGTGAAACTCTTAAGAATTAGACTTTTTGTTTTTTGTTATTTTGGTTTTGGGCATTTGTCCTTTTTTTAAAGAAAAATTTTGGGTCACACCAGTGATGCTCAGAGGTTATTCCTGGCTCTGCACACAGGAATTACTCCTGGTGGTGCTTGGGGGACCATACGGGATGCCAGGGATTGAACCCGGGTCGGCTGTGTGCAAGGCAAATGCCCTACCCGCTGTACTATCGCTCTGGCCCAGCATTTGTGTTTTCTTGTTGTTTTTATGTCTTTTGGGGGGTCACACCCAGCTGTGTTTAGAGTTTACTCCTGGGTTTCTTGCATCCCTTTACACTCAGTTTAATTAGCACTGTGTTTGTCTGTGTTTTTTGTTAAAGCTCTTTCCTACAACTGAACCAGTGGGTACCTTACTTAAAGTTCCAGAACAAATTCCTGCTCGTCTACCTCAACCAGCTGGGCAGATTCCTGCACAGCCAACTCAAGTCTCTGTCCCACCCCCTGCGGAGCCAGCAAAAACAACTCAGGTAAAGCAGGGATGTGCATCTTGGTAGATAGGGAAAAAATGGAGATTATATGGAACGCAAGCCAGTATAATATGGTTGATGACATGGTAGACTTTGAGATTCTTTTATTGGACTTACTTGGACTTAAAAAAAAATACAAAACAAGACAGCTGGGGCTCGAGCAATAGCACAGTGGAGAGGGTGTTTGCCTTGCATGCAGCCAACCTGGTTTTGATCCCTGGCATCCCATATGGTTCCCTGAGCACTGCCAGGAGTCATTCCTGAGTGCAGAGCCAGGAGTAACCCCTGAGCATCGCTGGGTGTGACCCAACAAAACAAAAACAAGATAGCCATGAAAATATTCTAAGCATCAAAAAGTTTTAGACTGGTCTCCACTGGCTCTTTATGAGATGGTTACACTTTGGCTTCAGGTGCAGCTGGTAGAGTCCAACCAGAGAGTAGAATTGTCAGGTACTCTGTTCACTAATGTATAATGTGTGTCTACATATGTTTGGGGGCTAGAACAGAGTGCCTCTTTGATCTATGCAAAACAGCACTTCTACCACTTAGCTAGAGCCCCGGCCGCAGCTGGTACTGAGTAATGTTGCTTTAATGACACCCTGGTCAGCCCATACTCAATGATTCCGTGAGGGTGGATTTCGTTAAAATGAGTCAGTAATCTGCAGGCCCCTTTCTCAGGCACAGATGTGCTTGGGTCAGTCAGAGTTCGCTGGAGGCAGCAGAGGGGGGTGAGTGGGGTCCCCATTGTGACTCCCCCTCAGGCCTCACACACTGCCTGAAGCTTACGGCTTTACCCAGGGTTAGGGCAAGAGTTCCACGTCTGTTTGTTGAACTGTAGATACATACTAAAGCTCTCTCTTTCCCCGTGACACTTTAGATGGAAAGCAGAGGAATGGGAGTCCGGCCCAGGCTTCACCCTGGCTTCTGCCTCTAGAGGCCGCCACTTACTCTGCTTTCCCTTGGTCCTCACTTACACTGAGAAGATAATTGTCATAGGAAAGCTGATGGAAAGGTGGTTGGGTCTGTTTTCTAAACAACTTAACTATGAATGCCCTCAATAAGCAAATGATGGCTGTAGTTTTCAAGAAGTGTGAGTTTAGCCATCCAAAGACCCAGAGCCTCCAGTTTGTGTGGATTTAGTGGGGTAGCTGGCAGATTGGCGTCCGACTTGTATGTTTCGCCCCGGGAGAGAACAGAGGGTCTAAATGATACAAAAGTTAAATGTGACTCTGTGGAATTTATATGGGTTTGAGAATGATCTTTCTAATTGTGTTTGACTCAGGCTGATATTCAGCTCCTGTTGCTGCCTGGGGGTGCATGCACCCCCGTAGCAGGGATTATCCTAGGGGCCAGGATGGCCTCACAGAGATGAAGAAAACTTGCTGGCCCGTGGATGGTTCCGAGGCAGATCGCTGTCTCCACCACACTTAAGATTCCAGGCAATGACTTTATACCTTTCGATGCTTTTTAGGCTCCGTCTTTAGGAGCAAGCTCACAAGAAACCAAGATCCCCATTAGTCTAGTTCTAAGATTAAGGTAAGTAAGCTCTTCCCTTCATTATTTGAGTACTTTGAATGTGCTGTGTTCTCTTTGGCAGTCACCTTTTCTGTCAGTGCTCCAGAGCATCTTCATAGCACCCAGTACTGTGTGCTTGCCTCAGAGGAAAATAGTGACTGTGAGTCCCTGGGTGGGGATAGGTTCTGTGACTATGTAACTTGCTCTCTCTCCTAGCAGTGATGAAAAAAGAGAAAGAGAGAGAGAGAGAGAGAATAGGAGAGGAGAGAGTGTACCGTGCCGAGTAATGGAGGAATAGCCTGTCAAGTAAGTCACAGTAGGGGTGTAGGACAGATGAATCTTGTCACTGGGATCATCTCAGTATTGAGTGCTATTAAGGTTCAGACTGAAGTGCTTTCTGATTGGGAGTCGTCAGGTTAAGGATCCAACAACTATTTTAACAGTGAAAGGAGAACTTCCAAGTGTAGTTTTGGTTTCTTTTTTTTCTTTTACAGCAAGTATTCTGAGTTTTGATGGTTCTGGTGGGGACATGGAAAGGCCTTGGCAGATGGCTTGCTAGAAGTGCTCTCAGAGCCATCTGTCATTTTCTTCTTTCCCTTTGTAGCTTGTTAGATTGGGATTCCAGAGCTTTCTTGCGAGAGCAACTATAATTGTAGTTATGATCTAAATAACTACTTTGATCTCTTTCTACTTATAAATGTGTTTGATCAAAGTAAAGTCTTAACTGGACTCAAAGTGCTTCAGCACATTCTTTGCACTCAGAACACTTGGGATCAGTCCCCACCCTGCATTTGGTGACCCCCAAGCACAGAGTTAGGAGTTACCCTCTCAAACCACCAAGGCTGGCCCCCACACCCACACACCTCCTCCCTCAGCGTGTGCACACACAAACACACACCTTTCCAAAAAATTCTTCATCTGAGAGGCTAAGGGGAGGGTTTTGTTTTGATTTGAGTTGGTTTGTTTTTGCTGGCTATGTTCAGAGCTTTCTTCTGACTCTGCACTCAGGAATTACTCCTTGAAGTGATCAGGAGGCCATATGGGGTACAGGGGATAGAATCTGGGCAAACAAGGCAAATGGACTTAACACTCTACTATCACTCTGGCCAGTTTTTTGTTTTTTGTTTTTTTAACTACTACTGATCTTTGATTTTTGTTGTATTTTGGGTTAATCCTGGTGGTCTTAGGCAGACCACGTAGCCAGAGATGGCATGGACCCAGGCCTCACATATGTAAGGATTGCATTCCAGTCTTTTGAGCCATCACCCTGGCCACTCTTACTAACATTTTTTAAAAGACTACTCAGTTATCGGGGCTGGAGCGATAGCACAGCAGGTAGGGCGTTTGCCTTGCATACGTCGACCCAAGTTCGATTCCCAGCATCCCATATGGTCCCCCGAGCTCCGCCAGGAGTAATTCCTGAGTGCAGAGCTAGGAGTAACCACTGAGCATCACCAGGTGTGACCCAAAAAGCAAAAAAAAAAAAAAAAAAAGTTATCAATTCTTTGTTCCAAGTATGAATTCCTAGTTATTTTCTCAGTAAGACCATAATTAGAGATAGATACAGCATTAGCTATTTTGAGAATGCTTTGGCTTTATCAGTGGAAGCAATTCAAATTACATCCTTAAATATGAAGAAATAAGTTTTGACTACTCTTCCTTTTCAGATGTCCTTCTGTTTCACCTGGTCTTAGTTCTGACTGACTAGAATGTTTTGGCTGTATTTTATTTTTCATTACATACCTTTTCTTATGTATTTATTTTTTTATTTTGCTTATGGCGCCACACCCAGTGATGCTTAGGGACTACTTCCAACTCTGCACTCAGTAATCACTCCTGGTGGTGCTTGGGGGACCACATCAGATGGTGGGAATTGTAGCTGGGTCAACTGCTTGCGAGGCAAATGCCCTACCTGCTGTACTATTGTTCTGGCTCCTCTTTTTTTTTTTTCTCCCTTCTTGTTTTGGGGCCACGTTCAGTGGTACTCAGTGTCCCCAAAGCAAGCAGACTGCTCCCTGCTCTCTGTGTGGGCATCATTTGTTTCAGTGTTTGGGGGACCATGTAATGCTTGGGATCAAACCCAGGCCTTCTGTATTCAAAGTGTGAACTCCATCTTTTAAAGCTTTGTTTGGCTTCTCCATGGTAGGAGCCTAATTTGCATGTGTGAGGGTTCCGGTTCCATTGCTGGCAACTGCTCCTTACGCCGCACAACCCCAAATCCAACACCTCCACCCCTGGCTCTCAAATTTTTTGTTTTGAAATCTTAGAGTAGTTAATAGTATAAAAATTCTGTGTAACACGTGCTTTAGGGAAGGGAAGAAGATACTTCTGATAGTCTTTTGAAAGAATAATGTTTTAATGGACTGTGTCCCCAACACTTTGGGAAGAGGAGATGAGAGTCTTAGTTCTCACTAATGAAGACTCTGAAATTAAATTCCTGGAAGCAGTGATAACACCATTTAATTCAGTGATAAGAATAATTCCATTATAAATGACATTAGTGCCATATGTTGCCTTTGAAAGCATTGTGGTTGGCATGCCAGTCAATCACTAAAATGATGCTGAATATTCAGTGTTAATTTTATTCAGTGGATTAAACAACTAGTAAACAGACAGTGCATAGTACACTATTAGCTGTTGGGAAGAATATGGAGAAATGAGGAAATAAACATTTCCTTGGTAATCAGGTTTATGTTGGAAGTTGTTTGCATTATGTCTCTAACATAGCTAGGTACCAATTTGGGGTAATAGGTAATGCAGAAGGGGAGGGTAATGTACGAGTGCAATGAGCAATTAGTGTAGATAGCGTTGGGGCAGTTTGTATTGGAATTGGGTAAGTACATTTAAGCATAAATTCAGTAACCTCCTCAGTGTATCCTTCAAGTCAGTCAATGGATTTGGGTCCCAAGAGATGGTACGTGGCTTCTTTGGACACAGGGTTCTGATTTCCTCACCTTCAGCAGAGACTCCGAGCAGCTTGTTTATCTCAGTCCCTAAGGTGGTGAGCGCCATTGGAACTGCCCCTTGCCAATCAGCGTAGTTGACTCTCTGGAGCCATGTCCCCAGAATGCAGCCAGTTCCTTTAAGCCCTAGTTAAAAAGTGCTTCTAAAGTTTTGCCTTATTGTGTCACTCTGTGTATTCTTTACTATCAGCCTCTGAGCTACGGGATCTGGGAGAACATTGTGCCTTTTATTCTCTTTAGTCCACCGAGGCTGACCCAGTGGTAGGCCAGAGGAGCCTTGGTGAAAGTAGGGATAAAGCTGCAGAGGTCATCTCACATTACCTTCCTGTCTTCGTACAGATTTTCCTTAGTTTTATTATAATCTTATTAGTGATGATAAATATGGGAATGGGCATGTAAGAGTCATCTCAAAGGTATAAATTTTTATATTGATCGGTTGATGGTGTTGCTCCGATTATCACTCAAGGTCTGTGTTGTCGACTCATTTGGGCAGATTTGAGCAGAGGGGGTAGAGGTGTGGTTTTGTGAATATACATTGGTGGAATGTTTATGCATGGATTCATAACCTTATTTTTTATGTTTTCTTTCATAGGAATTCAAAAAAAGAATTAAATGATATTCGATTTGACTTTACTCCTGGGAGAGGTGAGGCTCTGCATACAAAATAACTTTTCACTTGTAATCAATGAAATGTTTTATTATGTTTTTAAAAATGTTACCAGTTCAAAGGTTTATGGGTTTTTTCTTTGGGTGAGGGGGAGAATCTTACTTCAGTAAAATGCAATTTATTGCGCTAGGGAGATAGCTCAAAAGACTGAAGCAGGTGCTTTGCCTGTTGGACACTGGATTCAGTCTCCTGAGCACTATTGGGGTGGCCCCCAAAAGACAATTTATAAGTTGCTAACTTCATTTATAAAACCTCGTCCAATACAGACAGGTGCTGATGAGTATAGCTCTGATGTACAGCTTGTGAAGACATTTCTTAAGCATTATCTTGTTAAATTTTCAAAGTACCTTAAATAACTTAAGTAAAGATGATTTATCCCCCACTGTTCAACAGTAAAGTGACTTGTTGCATTTGCAAAGCTGGAAGGAGGTGTAAGCTGGAGTTCAGTTCCAGTTTTATGAGACAACGGTTCTCACTCCTCACCAAACACGCAGAAGAAACAAGATGGGGAGTCTAGTACCCCCAGACTGCAACCAAGCACCATCTCTCATGGACTCTGGGCACAAGCTGGGCATGCGTGAAAAGATTGCGATTTGTTCTTAGGCTTCAGACTAAAGCACTCTTCTAGAGGTCTTTGGTTACATCATGTCTCAGGATCTCATAAGCCTCAACCAGAGTAGGATTGCCTCAACAGGAGATTCCTCGGCACCTGTGCATTGGCTCTCTGCCAGCAAGCTCCTGGCACCTGTCTAACCGTTATTTGGAACGTTCTTTACCTTGAGCTGGTGTTTGCGCTCAGACTGATAAGAGACTCTGCCCTCTAGCTAGTTCTATGAGTTTCTTACATGAGATAATTCCATTGGTAAGAAAAACCTTTCATGTTGGGGGAAGGCCCATCTGTCTTCTTTGGTCTGTGAATTTGCATCTAGCTGGGATCTGTGCTGACTCGGAAAAGTTGCAGGGACATGTGTGACAAGAAACAGCACCTTTCTCTTTGTCCTTGCAGATACAGCGGAGGGTGTCTCTCAGGAACTCATTTCTGCTGGCCTGGTTGATGGAAGGGATTTAGTAATAGGTAACTACTCTGTGCCCTGACCTTGCTCTTTGGCCCTAGAACTAAGTCTGGTGGTTCTCAGGATGCATCTTGACTTTGCTAAAGTAATATTTCCTTACCAAAACAATAGTCTCACTTCTGAGTTTGCTTGTGACCACTGAGGATAGTGCATGAAGTCTCTGGGAATCCTTGGTAGAAGTGAAATTAGAAGTTACAGCAGGTTTGGTCATATCAGAGCCGTTTCGGAGGATGAACTCTGCCAACATCATCTTTGGATTTAAGTCCTAGGAAAAACAGGAAGCAAAGGGGCAGTAAGACCAGAGGCACATGGCCACTGCAGGACTCAGGCTTCGCTTCCCAGAGTAGGAGGCATCACCCCCAGGAGGGCACAGCACCCATGGGGCAAGGGAGGGGTGCTTTTTGTTCCCTTAAAGAAGGTAGGTTTCCAGGGAGATACTGAGTGATAGATGATTGATTTTTCTGAAAGGGGACAGTAGGCCAGAGAAACTTGGGAACCTCAGGTCTAAGGCAGGTCAGCACAATTTTCTGTAAAGGATCAGAAAGTAATGCAGCTTTGTGTACCTTGTTCTGCTCTGGCGTCTGAAAATTACCGTTTACCCACAAACAGGAGGGAGACAGAGCACAGCCCCTCGTTTGCTGACTCCCAGGCTAGGGCCACCCACGCATGGGCAAATCATTCCTTTTCTACTTGTGAGTCTGTCTGGGCAGTGATTCAGGGTTTATTTGCGCTACTTGGAGAAAAGTTTAAAAATGACTTTCAGGGGTAGGGTATGGCTCATAAGCGGAGGGCAGAACTTTCTTCTCTGAGAGGCTCTGGGTTTGAACCTGGGCACCGCGGCACACATAGCTACTCACTCACCCCAAGTTTCAGGCTGTTGTCTTTGAAAGACATTTCCACTGGGGGACTGATTGATTATCTCCCTGCTTTAAGTTTGATTGTACGTGGAAGATCCCAAACTACCTTTAAAGTTTTAAAATTTTGGTTGAAAGTGGATTTACTTAGCTTCTCATTACTCTTTCTATTTCTGTGATTACAGTGGCAGCTAATTTGCAGAAAATTGTGGAAGAACCTCAGTCAAATCGATCTGTCACTTTCAAACTGGTATTCATCCCATCCCCTTGTTAAACCATCTCACTTTTTGTACGCCAGCAGCCTCTGTAGATCATATTCCTTGAGTGATAAGAATGTTAAAACATTGTAGTTGTTCACTGAGCTCCCCCGCCTCAAGCTCCTGGGCTGACCTTTCTCTTGGAATGGGCTCCCTTTCTTTGCTCCCTTCAAGGAAACCACCTATCCCAGGCTCTTGATGATTCTCACAGACAGTGTTAGCCTTTCGTTTGACTTGGCCTTTATACTGAGCCCTGTTTTTCGGGACAAGACACATCTATCACCTGTTTGTAAACTAAGGCCCTGTTGCCTAACACTCTCCTTCCTACGGTCCCGCTAATAGTTTTAAGTGCTATACATTTGTCGGTAGGTACCTACAACTTCTTGTTTTGTTTGCTTCTTAGGCATCTGGTGTCGAAGGTTCAGATATTCCTGATGATGGTAAACTAATAGGATTTGCCCAGCTCAGCATCAGCTAAACCGGCCCTGAAAGAGGCGGCTCGCGGAGACTCCACACACGCGTCTCTCTTTTGCTTCTGTTGGCTTCAACCCACTACTGCCAAAGAACCCAGCAACATGCCTCCCAGCAAAGAGCTTTAGAGGTCTTTCTTTACGTCTCTCCTGCCATCCACCCCTGTTTTTCCCCACAGGGAAAGGAAAGTTGGATCACCGGTGGCCGGCACCCCGAGAATTCCGTTAGTAAACTGCCTGTGTCCTCCGCCTTCGTCCATCCACGCCATGGCCCTGTGCTTGGCCCCAGGAGACAGCACTGTCCTCTTGTTGCAGTGACGGCTGGCACGAGAGGCAAAGGAGCAGCTCCATGGACTCTCACCTCCTGTCCCTTTTCCCTCCCTGGCCAGTGGGAGCATCTGGGCATGTCTCCACTGCTGAAGTAGCTGTTAGAATCTAGAAACCCAGAGAGTTTGAATTTAGTGGGATTTTTTTTTTTTTTGTAGTGAGGAAGATGGTTTGTTTAGGTTTTTTGGGTGGGTTGGTTTGGTTTTTTTTTTTTGCCTCTGATGTGAATTCTAACAACATTTGTTAGGAAAAAGCACAACCTCAGATAGAGGCAACCAAAACCATATTCTTGTTTTGTTCGTGATTATTTCTAGGCGTTTTGCTGGAGCTGCTCTCAGGCACCCCTCATCTTTGCTCCCTCTCAGAAGGGGCGCTAGCCTTAACTTCAGCTGGTGCAAAACATCTGACTGTGGTCACACTTCAGCCCCTGGTTCTTTTACGGGGGTACTTTGGACTGTTTTTAGAGAAAAACATCAAGTTTCTAAAACATTAATTTTCCCAGAGGTGGTTCTTGAACAACAACAAAAATCATATCTCATATTATTGTGCAAGTATTTATTTTCAAATCTAAAGCAAATTTAATTGGAGAAAAAGTGCTCCTTGATCCTCCCGTGAAAATCAGTTTGCCTGGCCTCCACATCATGAGGAGAAATGCAAGGTTGAAATTCTACAGCAATAAAGGAGACTCAAACTGGCCCAGAGGCCTGCCTTCTGCCCCTCTCTGCACTGACCCTTCGGAGGGGCCACACTTCCACACTGCACGGGACCCAGGATGGAAAGTGAAACCACATGTGCCGTGACCTTTCGGATTTATGAATGGACAGTGTTCATTTGATTTTCTACAGAAATAATATAAACGATTCTTTCGGTTAAAAAAGTGCACTCATAATGCAATATGTGAATAATCAGTGGGGTTGATTTTTTTTCTCTTCCTACTGTTTCACAATCAAAACTTTGTTTAACAGGCTTTGTATATGAAAGGGATACTCAATTTGGCCTTAAAACAACCCTTGGAGGGACCCTGTGCCCATGAAGAGAGGAGAGTTGCCTCTTAGAGAAATATTCCAGCCCTTTCCATCATGGTTGGTTTGTGAATAACAAGATTACTGTACCCATTTCTTAAAACCGCTGAGTATCTCTGGAAGCTTTCCCCACACTGACTTGCCATGTTCTGTTTTGTTTTGTTTTGTTGTTGTTTCTTCTGAGTAGTTTTAGATGTGGGTTTTCTTTACCTGCCCTGTCTGCAAAGGCTTGTAGGGAACAAGAGTGGATGCTAGCAAGGATGGGGGTTGAGTCTGGGATGGGAATGGGGAGGAATGTGGATTAGAGAGTCTGAGCCTGGTGAAGAAAGAAGGTTGAGGTGCTTGCTGGAAAGATCTTAGCTTTTTTTTTTTTTTTTTGAGGGGGTTGGTAGGGGTAAGGACAGGGAGATGGGAATTAGGTGTGAAAAAGAGATAGGTATTTTTTTGGGGGGGGCACCACATTTTATTGGTTTGCTTTAGAGTCAGACAAGCCTGTCCTAATCTCACTTAGGAATCCAGGGGGGTAGTGTTGCCGTGTTCTAGCTTTCCTTTGGGGCGTGGTCTGACACCCAGACTGGGGGAATGCAGCGGCCCATCCCTTGCTGAGTATCTCCAATGGCCATTACCCTGGGGTTGCAGTGGGGCAGTTGACGGGCACAGTGCTGGACGTGAGCTGGGACTTTTCTCTTTCTTGTCCGTTTTTTTTTCTTTTTTTTTTTTTTTTGCTCTGCTGGGAGTTAGGAGTCAGACACCAAGCCCAGAACAGTGTTAATTCTTCTGTGTGACTTGTGGTGGACTCTCTTTGCTGGCTTGTGTAGTGGTCTAAGAAATAAGAGAAACTGCCCACGTGGCAGCGTGTGGGCTGGTGAGAAGCTCCCGCCTCTCCCAGAGTGATGGTTCAGGACTGTCCCAAGGTACCCGGCACCCTCAGGTGCTGGGAGAGGGACTGATTTAGCACAAGGTAATGTGCCAATGCTGTTTATGAAACGTACGGTCTTTCTTCATGACTAATAGGTTTGTTGGTTTTTTGCTTAAGTTTTGAACCAAATCCTAGAGCCAGCTGATACTGTTGGATAATCTGGACAATAAAATAATGGTGTATCAATAAAGGGAGGTTCCTCCTCATGACTTACGCTAGATTATGGAAGATGTAAAATATTTGACTTTTTTTCTCCTTTTTTTTTTTGAACTTTGTATTTTCCTGCATGTTTCCCTCATTTGTAACCAATAAAGAGTAAATTGTCCACGATGGTGTAAAGATTCTTTAATGGCTGTTGGTGGAAAGCAATGGGAAATGGATCAGGGAGTCACACGTAACTTAAAATTTTTGTGAAAATAGAGAAAAACCTGGGCCAGTTAGAGTTCAACAGGCCAATTGCGCGCTTTGCATGTGGACCCAGGCCCATCAGTCCCCAGAAACAAGTTTGTAAAAGTTTCTCTCCACATCACATGGTGTGACCTCCAAGCTCGGAGATGGGAATAGCCCCTGAGTGCCATGGATATCAACAAGCAATACCCCTCCTCCTCCTCAAAAAAAAAAAAACAACCTAAAAAAACCAAGGCATACATAAACTTTAAAAAGTTTATATAGATCTGCAAATTATCTAAACTAGCGGGGCTGGAGCAATAGCACAGTGGGTAGGGCATTTGCCTTGCACGAGGCTGACTCAGGTTCAATTCCCAGCATCCCATATGGTCCCCCGAGCACCGCTAGGAGTAAATTCCTGCGTGCAAGAGCCAGGAGTAACCTCTGAACTCCTGTTCATTACTGGGTGTGACCCAAAAAGCAAAAGCAAAAAAAAAAAAAGAGAAATACTGGTGTCCAAGGAGTGAATGCTGCCTGGAGCTAAGTGAGAACAGAGCAGCCTCCAAGCGTGTGTTCACCAGGCCCTGAGTTCAGTGCTCAGCACTGAAAAAAAAATTTCTAGACTAGCATTTAATCTCTTTAATTGTGTTAAGGGATCTGCAGTCAAGGCCAGATTTGAGCCCTTGGTAGTCCCTTCTGGAAAGTTCAGAGCAAGGCTGAACTTAATGTAGGGGTTTAGATTAGATTCTGGGTCCTTTCTTTGGGTCCTTTACCTATCTGGATAAATAATCTCTCTGGCCATAATTCCTGCCTTCTAAAAGATGGCCTTTGAGCCAGGAGAGGAGTGCTTGTGGGTTCTGGTATTTCATGGTGCAATTCTTAGAGCCTTGGAATTGATAAGCAGGTTATGTAAGTGGACTCTGACTCCTGTGGGGACAGATAGGAAGTACTCAACACTCAAAAGTGACACGTGTGCCGGGGAAAGCAAGCCTGTGTGAGGAGAACATCAATCTCAGATGTCCTCAACATGCCTGACTCCTCAGCTGTCTCTTCCCAGGAGAGTGCTCAGTGCAACAGTTCTTAAATTCCTCCTGTGCATCTGTTCATCTGTGTACCCGAAATTGACAGAAAGCGCAGAGAATTCCCAATACCTGCTGACTCAGACCTGCGTGGCCTTCTGCCTGCCAACATGTTGTACCAAGTGGTTCAGTTTGTTACAATCTCTCTGCATCACATCATCATAACCCAAAGTCCATAGTTTACATTTGGTTCACAATTGTGGCACATTCTGTTTGGACAAATGTCTAATGATATCTCCACCAATACAGTACACAGAATAATTTCTGTGCCCTAAAATCCTCAGTGATTATTGACACCTTTCTCCCTTTACTCCCTGTCAATTAGTGAACTTTTTAGAGTCTTCACAGTTGCCTTTCCCAGAAAGTCATGTATTTTTTTCCCCCAGATATATTTAGAAATTTAGTATGTACATTGCATAACAATTTCCTTGACTCGGTAATATGCATTTAAAGTCTCCATATTTGTTATGGGTTGATAACTTTTATTTTTTGGTCATGAACCCAATTTTGGGATGTAGCCATTTATCCATTCTCCGCCTAGTCACTTCTAATCTTGGAAAGCTTACAAATGTTGTGTGAACATGAGTTTTCAGCTCCTTTGGGTCAATAACAGGAACCTTATTAGAAACTGGAGGGGAAGAGTATATCTAGAATAGTCATGACTGAAATGTGTGCTGCCTCCAAAGAAAAACCAACTGCTGGTCAGAGAGCTAGTATAGGGGCTAAGGCAGTTTCCTTGCATTCACCCAAGTTAAGCACAGAACTGGGAGTAAACCCTTAGTACTTGCAGCAGCTACAATCAGCGTGTCCATCCCATTTTCCTTCCCACCCCTGGGTGAATGGGGGAATACCTGTCACCCTACATCTTTGCCAGCATTTGGTGTTAACAGCATGCTGTATTTGGGCCACACCCAGCAGTACTCGGGGCTTACTCCTGGCAGGGGTTGGGGGTTCCTATGTAGTGCCAGGGATGGAACCTGGGTCAGCTGCATGCAAGGCAAGTGCTCTACCTGCTGTACTCTCTTCTCCAGCCTCTCAGGAATGTAGTTACTGCTGTAAATTCTCACCACTTTTACTGCTTCTCACAAATGTAATAAGATGCTTTTATTTTCACTGTGTTTCAAAAACTTTAAAATTTCCCTTGAGATTTCCTTTGGCTCCAACTGTTAGTAAGCTGTGTTTGTTTAATTTGTAAGTATTTTGAAATTTTTTCCATCTCCACAGTGGGCTAGGAACAGATATTTTAATATTTTGTTCTTTCAAGTTTGTTAAGTGTGAGCCCAAGATAAATACTAATTATGCTACGTCTGGGTGAAGTAATCTATAGATGTCAGGGTTTTTTTTTTTTTCTTTTTGGGTCACACCCGGCGATGCGCAGGGGTTACTCCTGCCTCTGCACTCAGGAATCACTCCTGGTGGTGCTCGGGGGACCATATGGAATGCTGGGAATCCAACCCAGGTCCGCTGCATGCAAGGCAAACGCCCTACCCATTGTACTATCACTCCAGCCACTATAGATGTCAGTTTTATCTGGTTAATAGACATATGGTTTAGTTCAATTTTGTATTTAAGATTTTCTGTGTTGGACCTGCCCAATTCTGATCAATTCTGAGGGATGTTGAGATTTCTGGCTATAATGGTAAATACATCTCTATCCTTGCTGTTCTCGTTATGCATATACATATGCATGTATATATATTCACTTAATGTGTATATTATCATTCATATATATATTACCTGGAGTGATAGCACAGCGGTAGGGCATTTGCCTTGCACGCAGCCAACATGGCCGACCCAAGTTCAATTCTTCCGCCCCTCTCGGAGAGCCGGGCAAGCTACCAGGAGTATCTTGCCCGCACGGCAGAGCCTGGCAAGCTACCTGTGATGTATTCGATATGCCAAACACAGTAACAACAAAGTCTCCAATGGAGATGTTACTGGGCCCGCTCGAGCAAATCGATGAACAACGGGAGGACAGTGACAGTGACAGTGATATATATTACCATTCATATGTGTAATATACCAAACACAGTAACAACAAAGTCTCCAATGGAGACGTTACTGGGCCCGCTCGAGCAAATCGATGAACAGCGGGAGGACCATGACCGTGACATATGTATATAGTAATGTACACATTTGGCTGGAGCAATAGCACAGCAGGTAGGGCCTTTGCCTTGCACGCGACCGACATGGCCGACCCAAATTTGATTCCTCCACCCAAAGAGCCCAGCAAGCTACCGAGAGTATCCACACAGCAAAGCCTGGCAAGCTACTCATGACTTATTCGATATACCAAACACAGTAACAAGTCTCAGTGTTACTGGGCCCGCTCGAGCAAATCGATGAACAACAGGAGGACAGTGACAGTGACAGTGACAGATTAGGTGAATGCACATTAAGAATTTTTGTATTGGGCCGGAGTGATAGTACAGTAGGTAGGGCATTTGCCTTGCACGTGGCTGAACTGAGTTCTATCCCCGGCATCTTATATGGTCCCCCAAGCACCACCAGGAGTAATTCCTGAGTGCAAAGCCAGGACTAACCCCTGAGCATCGCAGGATGTGACTCAAAAAGGAAAAAAAAAAAGATTGTTTTCCTGGAAAATTAACTCCTGTATGATTAGAGCCCTTCTTTATTTCTGTTTTCTTGTTCTTTCTGAAAGTAATGTAATTACTCTTGCTTTCTTTTGATTATAGCTAGCTTTAATTCTAGAACTAGCTTCTGTTTAGGTATATCTTCCTTCATCCACGTACTTTAAATCTGTGTGTCTTGGGGCTGGAGTGATAGCACAGCGGGTAGGGCGTTTGCCTTGCACGCAGTCAACATGGCCAACACAGGTTCGATTCCCAGCATCCCATATGGTCCCCTGAGCACCGCCAGGAGCAATTCCTCAGTGCATGAGCCAGGAGTAACCCCTGAGCATCGCCGGGTGTGACCCAAAAAGCAAAAAAAAGAAAAAAATCTGTGTG